ACAAATACAAGAGATGAAAACATTGGCTCATGGTTTAAACTCACAAATAAATACAAGAGATGAAAACATTGGCTCATGGTTTAAACTCACAAAGTAATAAAAGAGATGAAAACATTGGCTCATGGTTTAAACTCACAAATACAAGAGATGAAAACATTGGCTCATGGTTTAAACTCACAAAGTAATAAAAGAGATGAAAACATTGGCTCATGGTTTAAACTCACAAATAAATAAAAGAGATGAAAACATTGGCTCATGGTTTAAACTCACAAATACAAGAGATGAAAACATTGGCTCATGGTTTAAACTCACAAATAAATACAAGAGATGAAAACATTGGCTCATGGTTTAACTCACAAATAAATACAAGAGATGAAAACATAGGCTCATGGTTTAAACTCACAAATAAATACAAGAGATGAAAACATTGGCTCATGGTTTAAACTCACAAATAAATACAAGAGATGAAAACATTGGCTCATGGTTTAAACTCACAAATACAAGAGATGAAAACATTGGCTCATGGTTTAAACTCACAAATACAAGAGATGAAAACATTGGCTCATGGTTTAAACTCACAAATACAAGAGATGAAAACATTGGCTCATGGTTTAAACTCACAAATACAAGAGATGAAAACATTGGCTCATGGTTTAAACTCACAAATACAAGAGATGAAAACATAGGCTCATGGTTTAAACTCACAAATACAAGAGATGAAAACATAGGCTCATGGTTTAAACTCACAAATACAAGAGATGAAAACATAGGCTCATGGTTTAAACTCACAAATAAATAAAAGAGATGAAAACATTGGCTCATGGTTTAAACTCACAAATAAATACAAGAGATGAAAACATTGGCTCATGGTTTAAACTCACAAATACAAGAGATGAAAACATTGGCTCATGGTTTAAACTCACAAATACACGAGATGAAAACATTGGCTCATGGTTTAAACTCACAAATAAATACAAGAGATGAAAACATTGGCTCATGGTTTAAACTCACAAATACAAGAGATGAAAACATTGGCTCATGGTTTAAACTCACAAATACAAGAGATGAAAACATTGGCTCATGGTTTAAACTCACAAATAAATACAAGAGATGAAAACATTGGCTCATGGTTTAAACTCACAAAGTAATAAAAGAGATGAAAACATTGGCTCATGGTTTAAACTCACAAATACAAGAGATGAAAACATTGGCTCATGGTTTAAACTCACAAAGTAATAAAAGAGATGAAAACATTGGCTCATGGTTTAAACTCACAAATAAATAAAAGAGATGAAAACATAGGCTCATGGTTTAAACTCACAAATAAATACAAGAGATGAAAACATAGGCTCATGGTTTAAACTCACAAATAAATAAAAGAGATGAAAACATAGGCTCATGGTTTAAACTCACAAATAAATACAAGAGATGAAAACATAGGCTCATGGTTTAAACTCACAAATAAATACAAGAGATGAAAACATAGGCTCATGGTTTAAACTCACAAATACAAGAGATGAAAACATAGGCTCATGGTTTAAACTCACAAATACAAGAGATGAAAACATAGGCTCATGGTTTAAACTCACAAATAAATAAAAGAGATGAAAACATTGGCTCATGGTTTAAACTCACAAATAAATAAAAGAGATGAAAACATTGGCTCATGGTTTAAACTCACAAATAAATACAAGAGATGAAAACATTGGCTCATGGTTTAAACTCACAAATACAAGAGATGAAAACATTGGCTCATGGTTTAAACTCACAAATACAAGAGATGAAAACATTGGCTCATGGTTTAAACTCACAAATAAATACAAGAGATGAAAACATTGGCTCATGGTTTAAACTCACAAATAAATACAAGAGATGAAAACATTGGCTCATGGTTTAAACTCACAAATACAAGAGATGAAAACATTGGCTCATGGTTTAAACTCACAAATACAAGAGATGAAAACATTGGCTCATGGTTTAAACTCACAAATAAATACAAGAGATGAAAACATTGGCTCATGGTTTAAACTCACAAATAAATACAAGAGATGAAAACATAGGCTCATGGTTTAAACTCACAAATAAATACAAGAGATGAAAACATTGGCTCATGGTTTAAACTCACAAATAAATACAAGAGATGAAAACATTGGCTCATGGTTTAAACTCACAAATACAAGAGATGAAAACATTGGCTCATGGTTTAAACTCACAAATACAAGAGATGAAAACATTGGCTCATGGTTTAAACTCACAAATACAAGAGATGAAAACATTGGCTCATGGTTTAAACTCACAAATACAAGAGATGAAAACATTGGCTCATGGTTTAAACTCACAAATACAAGAGATGAAAACATAGGCTCATGGTTTAAACTCACAAATACAAGAGATGAAAACATAGGCTCATGGTTTAAACTCACAAATACAAGAGATGAAAACATAGGCTCATGGTTTAAACTCACAAATAAATAAAAGAGATGAAAACATTGGCTCATGGTTTAAACTCACAAATAAATACAAGAGATGAAAACATTGGCTCATGGTTTAAACTCACAAATACAAGAGATGAAAACATTGGCTCATGGTTTAAACTCACAAATACACGAGATGAAAACATTGGCTCATGGTTTAAACTCACAAATAAATACAAGAGATGAAAACATTGGCTCATGGTTTAAACTCACAAATACAAGAGATGAAAACATTGGCTCATGGTTTAAACTCACAAATACAAGAGATGAAAACATTGGCTCATGGTTTAAACTCACAAATAAATACAAGAGATGAAAACATTGGCTCATGGTTTAAACTCACAAAGTAATAAAAGAGATGAAAACATTGGCTCATGGTTTAAACTCACAAATACAAGAGATGAAAACATTGGCTCATGGTTTAAACTCACAAAGTAATAAAAGAGATGAAAACATTGGCTCATGGTTTAAACTCACAAATAAATAAAAGAGATGAAAACATAGGCTCATGGTTTAAACTCACAAATAAATACAAGAGATGAAAACATAGCCTCATGGTTTAAACTCACAAATAAATAAAAGAGATGAAAACATAGGCTCATGGTTTAAACTCACAAATAAATACAAGAGATGAAAACATAGGCTCATGGTTTAAACTCACAAATAAATACAAGAGATGAAAACATAGGCTCATGGTTTAAACTCACAAATACAAGAGATGAAAACATAGGCTCATGGTTTAAACTCACAAATACAAGAGATGAAAACATAGGCTCATGGTTTAAACTCACAAATAAATAAAAGAGATGAAAACATTGGCTCATGGTTTAAACTCACAAATAAATAAAAGAGATGAAAACATTGGCTCATGGTTTAAACTCACAAATAAATACAAGAGATGAAAACATTGGCTCATGGTTTAAACTCACAAATACAAGAGATGAAAACATTGGCTCATGGTTTAAACTCACAAATACAAGAGATGAAAACATTGGCTCATGGTTTAAACTCACAAATAAATACAAGAGATGAAAACATTGGCTCATGGTTTAAACTCACAAATAAATACAAGAGATGAAAACATTGGCTCATGGTTTAAACTCACAAATACAAGAGATGAAAACATTGGCTCATGGTTTAAACTCACAAATACAAGAGATGAAAACATTGGCTCATGGTTTAAACTCACAAATAAATACAAGAGATGAAAACATTGGCTCATGGTTTAAACTCACAAATAAATACAAGAGATGAAAACATTGGCTCATGGTTTAAATTCACAAATAAATACAAAAGATGAAAACATTGGCTCATGGTTTAAACTCACAAATAAATACAAGAGATGAAAACATTGGCTCATGGTTTAAACTCAAATATAAATACAAGAGATGAAAACATTGGCTCATGGTTTAAACTCACAAATAAATACAAGAGATGAAAACATTGGCTCATGGTTTAAACTCAAATATAAATACAAGAGATGAAAACATTGGCTCATGGTTTAAACTCACAAATAAATACAAGAGATGAAAACATAGGCCCATGGTTTAAACTCACAAATAAATACAAGAGATGAAAACATTGGCTCATGGTTTAAACTCAAATATAAATACAAGAGATGAAAACATTGGCTCATGGTTTAAACTCACAAATAAATACAAGAGATGAAAACATAGGCTCATGGTTTAAACTCACAAATCAATACAAGAGATGAAAACATTGGCTCATGGTTTAAACTCAAATATAAATACAAGAGATGAAAACATTGGCTCATGGTTTAAACTCAAATATAAATACAAGAGATGAAAACATTGGCTCATGGTTTAAACTCACAAATAAATACAAGAGATGAAAACATTGGCTCATGGTTTAAACTCACAAATAAATACAAGAGATGAAAACATTAGCTCATGGTTTAAACTCACAAATAAATACAAGAGATGAAAACATAGGCTCATGGTTTAAACTCACAAATAAATACAAGAGATGAAAACATTGGCTCATGGTTTAAACTCACAAATAAATACAAGAGATGAAAACATTGGCTCATGGTTTAAACTCAAATATAAATACAAGAGATGAAAACATTGGCTCATGGTTTAAACTCACAAATAAATACAAGAGATGAAAACATTGGCTCATGGTTTAACTCACAAATAAATACAAGAGATGAAAACATAGGCTCATGGTTTAAACTCACAAATAAATACAAGAGATGAAAACATTGGCTCATGGTTTAAACTCACAAATAAATACAAGAGATGAAAACATTGGCTCATGGTTTAAACTCACAAATAAATACAAGAGATGAAAACATTGGCTCATGGTTTAAACTCACAAATAAATACAAGAGATGAAAACATAGGCTCATGGTTTAAACTCACAAATAAATAAAAGAGATAAGAGCTGAATGTTCATGAAAAAATAATGTTATTTTTAAATTCTGAACTGCAAGAAAAAACTATTTGCTAGGAGATAATTGTTTGATCTAGGTTATAGGATACAAAAATAGAAACAATATCTCACCTCATTTACCCACAGGACAGGAAAATACAACTTCCTTATGTTGAATGTTTGACTAAAGGATGAAGAATGCAATACAGCATTATTTTACTTGTTCATACTCTCTACAATCATACACTCTTTTTAATATCTCAACTTTTTTTTTTACCAGCATACACCCATTATACTATCTCAACTCATTTTATATATTACAAATTTTATTATTTTGTAAATATTTTTTTAAATTATTAAACAATAGCAACTTTGATGTGCATTTTATTCAACAATCACTTTAATTGTTTAATTATTTACTTACGCAATATCTGGTATTTTCTCAAGAAAAATGTTTATTTGCAACCGCTTTGATACCCTCAAAACCAAACCTGTCCACTGAACAAAAAATAAACAGATGAAGGAAATAAAATAAAAATACCATTTATTTAATTTCAGAGTATGTTTTGACTGTAATCACCAGAGGAAAAAATGATGTTATGGTTAGCTTAGTAACTATTTGCTCAAATATTTATTTACAGATGTATAAACACAAGCCTGAAATATTTATTGATCAATATATATAAGCATACATGTCTGTATATATAATATTGGCCGGCTCTCTTGGCCAAAGCCCGAAGAACTTAGCACTAAGAGCGTATTTTGTACATTGGCCGGCCAATGCACGGACTGGCCGGGATGTCCTGGCCAATGGTGTATCTAGACTAAATTGTGATCGCGTTTTCATTATTCTGGGTGCGGTTTCCTTGTGAGTAACGTATTGTTTGGCTCTTGTTGGTATAGCATTCTATATGCAATGCGACATGGACCAAAAGGACCGTCAGATCAAGAGACAGACATACCAGATGGCTGCCTAAAAAAATAATCATAATCCTAATGGAAAAGAATTTGTGGCCTGAACTGAAACTAGTTCACAGAAAACCAAGGCATAGCCAAAGCCAATGTTCAGTAGAACCAAGATGTTCAAAACATGATGACATGAATGTAGACCAGGGGTCGGCAACCTGTATACATATACATATATATAAAGCTGGGTAAACATTTTATTTAAGACAAAGTGTTTGACTGAATGCCTTACTGGCTCTATATCAATGATAGTTTGATGTTCCCACTCCTGAGGGTGTAAACCTCCCACATGGTTTATTACTTCCGGGTCAGCATACAGGAAGTGTGGGAAGGAAAATATAATCGGAAGAGGAAAACTGTCAACTGAGAGGAAATAAATTATAACAAGTTTAGTCAATTAGGTAGAAAAAATGAAATAAATCATAACAAGTTTAGTCAATTGTGTACAAAAGATGAAATAAATCATTACAAGTTTAGTCAATTGTGTACAAAAGATGAAATAAATTATAATAAGTTAAGTCAAATGTGTAGAAAAGGTGAAATTATGACAAGTTTACTCAATGTGTAAAAAAAAGTGTAATTTATACAAGGTAAAAATGCCCCCCCCCCCCATCCCCTCCGCCATGAAATACCTGGCTCCTGACAGGTGGTAGAGTTGAGTAAACCAGTTGGCAGACAGTTGGTCTGGGGTGTACAGAAGCCAATGTTGTCAGGGTTGACTGAAGAGTTCATCATATCATTTTGATCCCCACCAAAGCGCCTGAGGTCAATGCCTTGAGGTATTGAAACATCCTCTTTATAAACACCTCTTATTGATCTGACAACACAGGTGACAAATGTTGACATTTTAAGGCAATTGTAGATTGGGTCACTGGACATTGTCAGTGGTATAAAATATCAACATCTCACCTGCAAATATCTGATACAAAAATCTTGGCATCGTCTCTGTCAAAGCCAAATGGCGGAGTTAATGTTCCATCTGGGGACAAGGTTTATAGGGGAGTTAATGTTTGGATAAGGTTTGGGTTTTGTTAAAAAGGGGAATAATGTTGCATGGTGGGGAACATATTTGGGTTTTAATTTTTGTGTAAAACAATTTGAAAATGAGAACACAGTTTGTGTACCTGAGCCATTGATCATGTTAGCCCATTCTGTTGTCCACACACTGACATGGCTGAGAATAGAATTGGTTTCTCACATAATTATTAATTAATTTTAATTAGACAACAGTTGAATATTGATGGCTATGCATCAACACCTTAATACAACTTGAATCTGATTATTTCCAGTCAAACATTTGGCATTTCAGGTCAAACAGTTGTCATTTCAGGTCATACAATTGTCATTTCAGGTCAAACAGTTGTCATTTGAGGTCATACAATTGTCATTTCAGGTCAAACAATTGTCATTTCAGGTCAAACAGTTGTCATTTCAGGTCATACAATTGTCATTTCAGGTCAAACAGTTGTCATTTCAGGTCATACAATTGTCATTTCAGGTCAAACAATTGTCATTTCAGGTCCTAAGGTGTGCACCTACTGCCATTAGTCTGCCCCACATCCCACCCACTCCCCTGTCCCCAACCCTCAGGTGCAACAGCAGTAGGAACACCAGACCACAAACATACCTCTCTCCGTTATACTTTGTGATGACACCAACAGAACCACAAACATACCTCTCTCCGTTATACTTTGTGATGACACCAACAGACCACAAACATACCTCTCTCCGTTATACTTTGTGATGACACCAACAGACCACAAACATACCTCTCTCCGTTATACTTTGTGATGACACCAACAGACCACAAACATACCTCTCTCCGTTATACTTTGTGATGACACCAACAGAACCACAAACATACCTCTCTCCGTTATACTTTGTGATGACACCAACAGACAACAAACATACCTCTCTCCGTTATACTTTGTGATGACACCAACAGAACCACAAACATACCTCTCTCCGTTATACTTTGTGATGACACCAACAGACCACAAACATACCTCTCTCCGTTATACTTTGTGATGACACCAACAGAACCACAAACATACCTCTCTCCGTTATACTTTGTGATGACACCAACAGACCACAAACATACCTCTCTCCATTATACTTTGTGATGACACCAACAGACCACAAACATACCTCTCTCCGTTATACTTTGTGATGACACCAACAGACCACAAACATACCTCTCTCCGTTATACTTTGTGATGACACCAACAGAACCACAAACATACCTCTCTCCGTTATACTTTGTGATGACACCAACAGACCACAAACATACCTCTCTCCGTTATACTTTGTGATGACACCAACAGACCACAAACATACCTCTCTCCGTTATACTTTGTGATGACACCAACAGAACCACAAACATACCTCTCTCCGTTATACTTTGTGATGACACCAACAGAACCACAAACATACCTCTCTCCGTTATACTTTGTGATGACACCAACAGAACCACAAACATACCTCTCTCCGTTATACTTTGTGATGACACCAACAGACCACAAACATACCTCTCTCCGTTATACTTTGTGATGACACCAACAGAACCACAAACATACCTCTCTCCGTTATACTTTGTGATGACACCAACAGAACCACAAACATACCTCTCTCCGTTATACTTTGTGATGACACCAACAGAACCACAAACATACCTCTCTCCGTTATACTTTGTGATGACACCAACAGAACCACAAACATACCTCTCTCCGTTATACTTTGTGATGACACCAACAGAACCACAAACATACCTCTCTCCGTTATACTTTGTGATGACACCAACAGACCACAAACATACCTCTCTCCGTTATACTTTGTGATGACACCAACAGAACCACAAACATACCTCTCTCCGTTATACTTTGTGATGACACCAACAGAGTCTGTGTCTTTCTCTCCAGTCAAAACTGTATACACTCCATCATCAGTGTCATTCTTCTAAACAATGTAAACAGAAACAACAGACAACTGGTATAGTAGGAACTACTGGTGTTTTACTAAACATTGGACACAAACAACAGACAACTACTTACTAAATAAATGTGAAATCCTTATAACTATAAATGGTATACAATTATTATCAACAAACCGTTCACTGAACTATTAATATTAATGCTCATTGCAATGATAGTTAATGATTTAAAAATTTAAATCAGGCAAAAAAGATGGTGAAAGTAAAAAGGGCACTAACTCTGATAAAATAGCCAATCTGTGTAGTTTGAAACCATGAGGGTAATATAGATTTGAGCATGACTAAAGCAGGATCTTCGTAGCCCCACAAGGTTTCGTAGACAGTTCGAGTCATAAATAGATCCTCATTAGGCAAGACTTCCAAAACCACAGAAATTGCTTCCTTGATAAAGTTGGGCATCCACCTGAGATTTTGGGCTAAAACCTTGAGAAAATCACCCATTAAATATCATTTCATGCTAGAATAAAAGAGTAATAGTAATCTTTTTTTTAAAGATCTTGTTTACAAAATATTTTCATTTACACAACAAAGTTAGTTGCAGCACGTTATGCCTAAAGCATAAAAAAAATTCTTAAAGATTTTACAAAATTTATTAACGGCCATTTTAGGTTTAAAGTTAACTTTACATAAAATGAAATACATCAAAATGTGTGATAGTCTACTAATGTAATAACAATCTGCAATCAGCATTAACTTACACCAATTAAAGGATTGACTGTTGTAATTAAGTCAGATTCCCCACCAACAGATTTCTCTGGAACAAAATGAAATGTGCGATTCTGCTTGTAGGTCACAGTTCCATTGTCATTCCAAACAATGTCAAACTTTGTGCGCCTTTCTCTAGTAGAAAAAATGTCAGAACATTCCAAACAATGTCAAACTTTGTGCGCCTTTCTCTAGTAGAAAAAATGTCAGAACATTCCAAACAATGTCAGACTTTGTGCGCCTTTCTCTAGTAGTAAAAATGTCAGAACATTCCAAACAATGTCAAACTTTGTGCGCCTTTCTCAAGTAGAAAAAATGTCAGAACATTCCAAACAATGTCAAACTTTGTGCGCCTTTCTCTAGTAGAAAAAATGTCAGAACATTCCAAACAATGTCAAACTTTGTGCGCCTTTCTCTAGTAGAAAAAATGTCAGAACATTCCAAACAATGTCAAACTTTGTGCGCCTTTCTCTAGTAGAAAAAATGTCAGAACATTCCATACAATGTCAAACTTTGTGCGCCTTTCTCTAGTAGAAAAAATGTCAGAACATTTCAAACAATGTCAAACTTTGTGCGCCTTTCTCTAGTAGAAAAAATGTCAGAACATTCCAAACAATGTCAAACTTTGTGCGCCTTTCTCTAGTAGAAAAAATGTCAGAACATTCCAAACAATGTCAAACTTTGTGCGCCTTTCTCTAGTAGAAAAAAATGTCAGAACATTCCAAACAATGTCAAACTTTGTGCGCCTTTCTCTAGTAGAAAAAATGTCAGAACATTTCAAACAATGTCAAACTTTGTGCGCCTTTTTCTAGTAGAAAAAATGTCAGAACATTCCAAACAATGCCAAACTTTGTGCACCTTTCTCTAGTAGAAAAAATGTCAGAACATTCCAAACAATGTCAAACTTTGTGCGCCTTTCTCTAGTAGAAAAAATGTCAGAACATTCCAAACAATGTCAAACTTTGTGCGCCTTTCTCTAGTAGAAAAAATGTCAGAACATTCCAAACAATGTCAAACTTTGTGCGCCTTTCTCTAGTAGAAAAAATGTCAGAACATTCCAAACAATGTCAAACTTTGTGCGCCTTTCTCTAGTAGAAAAAAATGTCAGAACTTTCTAAATAATTTGAAGTGCAAATCAGGCTATTTTGTTGTTTATTTTTAGCAACTTTGTTAAAAACAAGGACTACTATTTAAACCAAATTTTAAAAATCTATACTAATATATCTTAAGAATAAGTGTATGGTTCTCTTTAAATGATAATATCATTACATCTAACTGTTAAGTGTAATAATATATCTTACAGATAAGTGTATGGTCCTCTCTGGTTAACATAGGGCCTCTCTCCAGCCTTGACCTCCAGTACATTAACGACATCAAAGATGTAGAACTGCATGTACACTGGGATTGGGATGTCTTGCCAGATGTCATAGGTTTCACTGGTGTTGGAGATTACAACTTTCTGCACACAACAAAAGTTGTTTTATGGAGAATACAACTTTCTGCACACAACAAAAGTTGTTAGATGAGAGATTACAGCTTTCTGCACACAACAAAAGTTGTTAGGTGGAGATTACAACTTTCTGCACACAACAAAAGTTGTTATATGGAGATTACAACTTTCTGCACACAAAAAAAGTTGTTATATGGAGATTACAACTTTCTGCACACAACAAAAGTTGTTAGATGGAGATTACAACTTTCTGCACACAAAAAAAGTTGTTATATGGAGATTACAACTTTCTGCACACAACAAAAGTTGTTAGATGGAGATTACAACTTTCTGCACACAAAAAAAGTTGTTATATGGAGATTACAACTTTCTGCACACAACAAAAGTTGTTAGATGGAGATTACAACTTTCTGCACACAAAAAAAGTTGTTATATGGAGATTACAACTTTCTGCACACAACAAAAGTTGTTAGATGGAGATTACAACTTTCTGCACACAAAAAAAGTTTGTTATATGGAGATTACAACTTTCTGCACACAACAAAAGTTGTTAGATGGAGATTACAACTTTCTGCACACAACAAAAGTTGTTATATGGAGATTACAACTTTCTGCACACAACAAAAGTTGTAAGATGGAGATTACAACAAAAGTTTTTAGATGGAGATTACAACTTTCTGCACACAACAAAAGTTGTTAGATGGAGATTACAACAAAAGTTGTTAGATGGGATTACAACAAAAGTTGTTAGATGGAGATTACAACTTTCTGCACACAACAAAAGTTGTTAGATGGAGATTACAACAAAAGTTGTTAGATGGAGATTACAACTGTCTGCACACAACAAAAGTTGTTAGATGGAGATCACAACTTTCTGCACACAACAAAAGTTGTTAGATGGAGATTACAACTTTCTGCACACAACAAAAGTTGTTAGATGGAGATTACAACTGTCTGCACACAACAAAAGTTTTTAGATGGAGATTACAACTTTCTGCACACAACAAAAGTTGTTAGATGGAGATTACAACTTTCTGCACACAACAAAAGTTGTTAGATGGAGATCACAACTTTCTGCACACAACAAAAGTTGTTAGATGGAGATTACAAAAAAAGTTTTTAGATGGAGATTACAACTTTCTGCACACAACAAAAGTTGTTAGATGGAGATTACAACTTTCTGCACACAACAAAAGTTGTTAGATGAAGATCACAACTTTCTGCACACAACAAAAGTTGTTAGATGGAGATTACAACTTTCTGCACACAACAAAAGTTGCTAACCTCTAAATAAAATGTTGACTAGGAACCAACAGTCAGCCTACATAGAAACATTATATAAGGGAGATAACTATTCATAACAGTTTTTTTTCTAAATCTTGTAAAACAAGAAGTAAATCCATTTACAAAGAAGATGGTCTGTTGTCAGAAGTGTATTTTTTAATGTATGAGTTTCAATGGAAACTCTCTACAGATGTAATATTGTTATAATGTTAAGTGTAAGGCAATGGTCCATATAGTTGATCCTCTTTACCAACATGTTTAAATCTTTTCAATTATTATTTTAAAAAATTTCCTAAGCATGACAACAATCACTGTGAGGTTGTAACAAAAGAAATAACCAATGAGCTCAGGTAACATTATTATAATCACAATTCATTATAATATTATTACTCTTGAGATAATACATTAGATATTTCTAAGTGGGCCTGCTACTGATAACATTTTACATTTTTTCATGGTCATGTGTATTTATAGCTTCATATCAGTAAAAAATGTCATAAACCATACAACCTAGCTTGGTTTTTTATTTACATTTTACATTATTTTTAAAAAATTAGATTTAAAAAAAAATCCTGATATAATTGTATAGATGGATAGAAAAGATGGTACAAAATGAAGTGAAAATGTGTAAAATTTAACTTGTTAAGGAATCAAATCTGCTTCAAGCCCTAACAGTTGTACAAATATAAAAAGAAGTTAAAGGAGAGAGTATTCTATGCAGAAAATTCAGTCTTTTACACAAGTATTTCATTCACTCAGCCCAAACACTCAACATGATCACACAAGTATTTGATTCACTCAACATGATTACACATGTATTTGATTCACTCAACATGATCACACAAGTATTTGATTCACTCAGCCCAAACACTCAACGTAATCACACATGTATTTAACTCACTCAGCCCAAACATACCTTTTTGATCTCCTCCCTGATGATGTAGTCAAGCAGAGGGAACATTGCACCACCAATAGCTGCCACCAACACACCCACTGCCAATATTATTCCAAGTTTTTTCAGGCTTAATTTTGACATTTCTTACTGCTGTTTTACTATGGAAAAAACATTTTAAATTGTATTAAATTTTTAAAAAAAAGGTTATTTTAAAATCTTACGCATATCCAATAAATAAAGACATTTCTTAGTGCTGTTTTACTATGAAAAACCATTTTAAATTATATTTATTTAAAAAAAATAATTTTAAAACCTTACGCATATAAAATAAATTTTGACTAAGTACAATTGAAAAGCAAACATTGGCAATAATACAACTGCCGTGATGATTGCTGTTACCTAACCCTAAGTCAACAATAAATTTAAAGTATTTAACTTTACACTTACATCACTGAAGAAAGTAAACTAATTTACTAAAGCACAATTTCAATGGTTAAAATAAAATTTGATTTGACATATTCCAGGTGGAAAATGAAAACAGCCTTTAAGAAGGAAAGTTTAAAAAAGTCTATCACATGTGTTTATTTATTAGGCCAGAGTTGCTTGTTGTTCTCTGCACAGGCCTGATTACCAAAGTTAGATAACACTAGATACTGCTGGTTGGGTAGGTACTCGTGGTAAATAAAACATGCAAACAAAACAAATAACTGAATCAGAAATTATGGAAAAAATGTAATTAAAAGCTTGTAATTATTTATAATCAACAGTGATAATGACAGGTTTGAGCACCACTTTGTTATTACATAACAGGAGGTCTTATGATAATAATTAGGTAATCACCCAAGTGTTATCAACATTGATGAACAGTTGTGTGACCTTGACAGGCTATCTAGTAGTTGATTTTAAACAACAGAAGATTGTTAAAAATAATGGAAAATATAAGCATATTATAAATAAAAGTAAACATGGAACAAAGTAAACAAGTATAAAGTCAACAGGTATAAAGGTAAACATCTATCTAGTTAAAGTAAAGTAAAGTAAAGTAAAGTAAAGTAAAGTAAAGTAAAGTAAAGTAAAGTAAAGTAAAGTAAAGTAAAGTAAAGTAAAGTAAAGTAAAGTAAAGTAAAGTAAAGTAAAGTAAAGTAAAGTAAAGTAAAGTAAAGTAAAGTAAAGTAAAGTAAAGTAAAGTGAAGTGAAGTGAAGTGAAGTGAAGTGAAGTGAAGTGAAGTGAAGTGAAGATCCCCTTCCAAACCTGATGGTCTATGGGGAAAGTGAAGTAGAGTTAATCTTTTTCTGTGACCTCAGCATGTGAAAGGATTGTGTGGTCAGCATTATGACTTTACTTTCCCTGATGTGAGTTAGGTACCCATCAGAGCTGGGTGGACTCAGGGATGGTCTACTGACTTAAACCCGGATTTGAATTAGAGACTTACGGGTCAGCAGTCTAGATCTCTACCCCTAGGCCCCTCCGTCCCCCAGAGTTCAGTTATTACTAGCTTTATTTATAAATCTTTAGTTTCCTTTCTATTATATCTATTGTTGAGAAATGGACAAAACTGTTACAATCGAATAGTTTAATAACAGGAAACCTTTATTCCCTTTTACTGTAAGTTAAGAACAGTGTTCAGCCCATCTCAGTGGGAGGTCCTGGTCAAATATCAGACAGGGTATCAGTTTGCTCCATCAGCTATTCTAGATACCAAATCGATCATTTTCAGTTCATTAGAACCTGAGTTATTAAACATACCCAATTCCTAAGATGTTAGTTGTTTGACACAAATATTCCACACTCCACCCTGATGCCCAAATATAATCTGTATGAAAACCTTGAATCTACGTTGATCACCCTCTACAAGGGTGAGATATAACACCACTTGGTAACCACTTGGAAAGTCAGATGTCCAATAAATGGACCCTCAATGCTAAGGTTGGTGTGGGGGAACTTGAGGTGCGTCTTTTATGCAGTACTACACCATTCATCTGATAGCTTGACAACCAGCAGCATCCTGCGCTCCCCAAGTCCACTATGGCACCTACACTTGTTTTAAAAAGACCCAACACTAGGGATAATGTGGGTTAATACAATCCATGACTAAACCAAACCAACGTTTGCACTAGTTGCCACTGTGGTAGTTAACTAATGGCTCCCACGAACGCCCTGCGGCGCCCCTGACACCTGATCAAAATACACTCAAGGTTTTCATAAAGAGCACCCTGGGGGTCTAGAGTCTAGAAGTCAGCATGGTGTGGACAATCCTGAAAGCACATTTTAAAAAATGGAACTTGTAAAGCAAAACTTACAGGGTCGATCCAGTCATGAAATCTTTCTGGTATTGACTGCATACTATAAAGTTTGTACACGCCATTCCCTTTCATTGTGATTTTATTACTTATCTTAATGAAGAAATAAAAAAAATTATGAAAAATTAATAAGATATTATTAGTCTAATTAACATATTAGGAATCTGTGTGGTTGGGCTGGGAAAAAGCATTGTTGCTAAACAGATAAGTCCCAAGTTCAAACCCCTGTGCAGATGGGGCTCATTAGTTAGGGACAGTTTAAAGTTTAAATTAAATAATAAATAGTATAGGCCACTATAGTAGTGCATATCACCTAATTATCACAGTTTACATAAACATAGTACATACTACTAGATCTACTAAACTTAAACTCTTAAACTAATTCAATCATTGTATTAAGTATTACTTTATTACTATTAAATAGTATTAAACTATTAATAAAGTGTAAGGTCAGTATCACAAGTATTTAGTTAGAGTTAGAGTTTAGAGTAATAATTAATAATTAAGTTAGTATGCAGTATGCTGGTAATTTTTTTCTTTTTTTAATTCAGTATTCAGTAGGCTTATATTTGGTAATCTATCGTTTTAGGTAAGTAAAATCGCCCGCGGCTAGTAATGTACGAAAAAGTTACCTCATTGTCAAGGCTTTAATAGAAGTATATTGTGATATATTTGTGTCAAATATTATAGATAATTGAATAATAAACCTAAATCAATGGCTAAATATATCAATATAGCCAGGCAAGAAATTAACTTTAAACAGCAGTGTTTGTGAGCAGGATTTGCTATATAAAAAGCGGCCATCTGTAAGTTAGAGTGGCTTCCCCTGAATATTACGCTATAAGTTTACAATTTTAAAAAATACACAAGATGGCTGCTATAGTAAATGAGCATGGTTGCATCTGTTGGAAACATTGCTAGTCTTCATTTATCACTGAAAAGTTTTAATTCCGTTATTTAAAAACAGGTACATAAATTAAACAAGGAAACATTTTTGTATTTTTCAAAACATAAATCCTCCTCAAAATGTAAAATAATTATTAAAATTTAAGCAGTCACCTGTTTTTCACATTACTAGTCGCTGGCGATTTTACATACCTAAAACGATAGATTACCCAGTCATTATTATAATTATTAATTATATTATGATTATAATGAATGCCCTTTATGGCCTTTAATATTAAAATTTAATTCAGTAGGCCTATTAATTATAATTAGGCCTACTATTAAATATTAATAATTAATAATAATTAATATATTATTAACAAACGTATACATTATGTATTTAACTATTTATTACACATCCCTCTAGAGTCATTAACTCTAGAATCGAGAGATCTCGATCTATGATGTGCTAGATTTAGATCTAGATCATATAAGAGTCTTTTATTAGACTACTAGAGTCTACTAACTAGATCTAGATATCTAGATCTAGATCTAGATTCTAGAACTTGGCCTGCTAAAGAAAATGTTTTAAGAGTTATATCCCTTGGTGTTATGTTGTCGTTGTTAAGGTAAGCTTTGGCCAGTTCAAAGTTGAAAAATCTAATTAAAATTAAAAGTATTTCAAATTTTTTGTTTACAAGTTAAAACAAATTACTAAATGAAGATATTGTGTTTGTAAATTGTTTACCAATAGGTCAATTAACGTGGCAAAAGGTCACGTGTTTGCAAGGGGTCTATGGATGTAGGATACAGTATTAACTGTTAAATCTAGACAATGTAAAGTTAAGAAACAGTCAATTTTCTTTACTTCGACGGTAGCCTATATTCTTCAGAACAGTAAATCAGAATTAGCTTATTTTTCTATACCCCGTTTGGCGACTCTGTGGGGTGGACGGCCGGGGCGACAACCCCACCCGCCCTCCATTTCATCGGACTGCCGGTGCGCTCATCTGGTTCTTTCATAGCTTTCAGTTGTAACATTGCAAACGCAATACAAAAGAGATATAATGACATTGTCCATGAAAGTGGCATGATCTTTTAAACAGATTAAGCTAATTGAATGGTTCGGCAAAAAATTAAGACAAGTTCAAACTGCTGAAAAAAAAAATATGACCTTTCAGAAATTGCAAACTTAAAACTGTCAACAGCTATATTTCCTTGTCCAAATTTATGTTAAGTAAAATAATATTTTTTAAATTACTCACCACATGCTTTCTTTTTCGCCTCCTCGGCGTCAAACTGAGAGCCAAAAGCAATATCGAGTCGTCTTTCTACGCGGTGAGGACAATGTCAGCCCTCTACAGGAGCATCTCGCTATGGCTCTTAACCCAGACTGGGCTTAACCTACATTTTTTTTTTGTATTACTTCTAATTAGAAACTAGAATGAAATAAATGAACAATACATCCACAATGTTTCACTTTAAATTAATAGAAACAAAAAAAAAATCATTTAAAAAAGATGACCATTTTTGAAGTTGGTTTTAGCCCTGTTATTAATTAGAAAAAAATATATCGCCTGTCATTATTTATGAATGAAATCAAGGGGTTGATTATCATAGAATAGCCTACAACAAAGGACCTGAATGTTGATTAGGGGTCATACATAAATACGTCACGCTTTTTTGACGATTTTTACCTCCCCCCGTACTTCCCTCCGTCACACATCGCCAAAAAAAGCCAGAATCCCCTAAATGAAGTCAGACCTCAGCCTACAACCCCCCCCTCAAAATTGCAGTTGTATTTTTCTTAAAATACGATATTTTTCCAAAATCTTGTCTGAACTCTGTCAACATAGAGTATTTTAATCAATTCCTTTTACAATTTATTAAAACAGTTTTCTAAAACGCGAAATAAAGGCTAAAATTCGCTGTCTAACATTGCTTTTTTTATAACACAAAAGTGTGACGTCCCACGATCTGAACCCCCCCTCCCCCTCATCACATACCATCACAAAATTACGGACCCCCACTCCCCTCTACGAGTGAGTGTGACGCCATTTATGGACGACCCCTTAATAAAATCCAGCAAAACATGTTTTTATGTATTTTCTTGATTTATTAGCAATTAGTCAGGACAAAATATTATGACATGATTTACTAGATCTGCCCTATAGGCCAAGTCAATAGGGACCGTCTATAAATGACGTCACTTTTTTGTTGTTGTTGGCGATTTATAACACCCCCCTCGTTGTCGTTTCACACCATAAAAAAACAATAGACCCCCCCCCCTAAAATGACGTCATACTTCACCTAAATCAAATTACATTTTTTTAGCTGGGTCCACAATTGTTTCTATTAATTTACCCCTCCCTCCGATTTACAATAAAGGTATTTAATTTGCTTAATGCATGCCAAAATTTGTTTCAAAAATTACTTTTTAAATACAAATCAAGTGAAGTCAAATCACCCCCCCCCCCAATACAGAAGTTGTCATCCCCCCCCCCCCCTAGAAGTGTGCTGTCATAAAGTTATGGACAACCCTCTTAGGCCTTAGGTTAAGCATCATCAGTAACTCTACACCACACGTCTCAAGATTCGGACAGGGATAGGGGGTGTGTTGTCTAAGGCAGTATTTACTGTATTATTAAACAAACAAAAGCTAGCTTTACTCATAGTATTGTTACGCAAAATAATAGGCCTACTATGACATGATACATATTCGAAAACCAAATATTTAGTAGGCGTTATCTAGATCTATATTTTGTTAGAATCTAAATAATAAAAATGGGCTTTAAAAATAAAAGTGAACATCGCTTAAAAATCTGGCATCACAAGTTAACGATACTCGTCAACCCATAGTGCGAAAAGTGAGTATTATAATTAAATGTATTTTTGTGAGTAATGTAAGCGTCTTAAATTTATATCTTGAAGCTGCAGTTGCAGTATGGTAAACCAACAAATATAAATTATTACATTGAAATGCTTTTGTTTAATATTTTTTGGAGCACGACATGCAACTTGCGGTCAGACAAGACAGTCTGTTATGAACAGCAGCAACATGGCGTCGAGGCTAGAAAAAAAAAACAAAAATATAAACTCGCTTGTCTTTTGAAAATTATCGAAAGATCGGTCGGCATCTTAGAGTTTCATTAGACAATTGGTCCATTGTTTTTTTCCCGTTTCGCGGCGTTCTTTAGTTTAAATTCAAGATAGTTGAAGATGGTTTATAGATTATCCATCGTTAATCTATCGTTTTAGTACGGTTTTAGGTACGTAATGACAGCTGAGTAATGTAAAATCGGAATCGCCCGCGACTAGTAATGTGAAAAACAGGTGACCCCGGCCTTACTGTGTGTTACTCCTTAAAATTTTAATAATTAGGCCTATTTCACATTTCGAGGAGAATTTAATTGAATTTATTTTTTGAAAAATACAAAAATGTTTCCTTGTTTCATTTATGTACCTGTTTTTAAACAATTGAATTAAAACTTTTCAGTAGCCTAATAAATGAAGATTAGCGATGTTTCCAACAGATGCAACCATGCTTATTTACTAATATTTACTATAGCAGACATCTTGTTAAAGTTTTTTTTGTAAACTTATAGTGCAAGATTCAGGGGAAGCCACTCTATTTTACAAATGGCTGCTGTTTATATAGCAAAAAGTTTTAATTCAATTTCACAATTTTCACTGCTGCATCCATTAAAAAAGTATCAGGCCTATAGATTACTATTAATTAGGCCTAATTAATGCTATTAAAACAAGTAAAAAACAATTCCATTTGTAGCTTCTTCTTTTTAGCGCAATTTCCATTCTGGAGAATTGCGTTTATTAACCCGTCATTTCTGGATGTATGAATGGATGTGTGTCAGCAGCTTTAAGTCGTATCTCCTCCTCAACGAAGCAATATCGAGGACTAGTTCCAAAGCAATTATGTTAAGCAAGTTACGAGGATGGACATAGGCCAAAAAAATTCCGGGTTTCTTTCATGGATTTACCGGAAATGCCAAAAAACCTCGAAAAAATGCAGTTTTTGGCCCATATCTCGGCAACCAGACCACTTAGCGACTTGAAACATGTACCAATCGATTCCTGCCATAATTTAGAACAATATTGCCGAAGAAAGTTTTCAAAAATATCCTTTCGTTCGGTCACAACATTTTTTTGAATTAATTAAAATTTGGACCGAATTAGTAGGCATTTTTATCCAACCACACCACACGCGTCATCACGTTCAATAGCTGCGTCATCACGTTCAGTGGCTAGGCGCGCAATGGTTTTTAGTCATGTAACTCTATTGTAAATAAAACATGTAAAATACTGAAAAAAAATTTAATAAAAACGTTTTAATAACTAACCAATGGTTTTACTAACCCTGCTCTTGATTTACGCTATGACAGAGCTATTTTTAGATAACATAAGGAAATTGCGCTTAAATGTCACTAGACTTTTTAATTAACTTGTTTAGATAATTTATTAAAAAAATTGGAATTTCTAGTTCTAGCTTAATTATTTAAAAATTCTAAATTTAGAAGTCTATATCAGAAAAAAAAAATTTTTAATTTTTTTTATTGACAATTAAACAATCAAATATTTTAAATTCAATATTGTTTTATTTTTCAGGTTTTAGTCTATGAAAGACTATGTATGACATGCTTGTTGCCCATGACACCAGCTGGAGGTAAACTTTAAAGAGCAACCATTCAAAGCAAATTTTAGGTGATTACTAAGAGTAGGAATGGATTCTGATGTGATTAGAATGGAGGAATATATGGATGTTGTCTATAGCTGTAAATTCTGTCCAGTCACATGCAAGCTACCTACGGATATGGGAGCACATGTTAGAGAAAATCATTTGCCGCTCCTGTTAGCAGCTCAAGGTAGTCCATCTATCAGAAACAAAGAGGAGTCTAGTAAGTTGGTTATTTTGTCTTATCAAACATAGGAGAAAAAATTATCATGTAATAGGTCTAGTTTCCAGCTTGACATTTTAACACTTGTCTTTATATTTTGAATTGTAAATTTATTTAAATAGTTTTGACTATTAGACAAATCTATGTAACAATTTTTATATCTTTACAGATGCATCAAATTCACCATTGACCTTAACATTAGATGGTTCTGCCTCAATGGCCGCTATTAATTCTGGAAACAGCAGAATAAATGCAAATAGTTCTAGCAGTAACAGCAGTAACTTTAACATGCAGGAATCAGAGGATGTTTTAGGATTTTCAGCTGATGGTCACACGTTCATGGACAAAGGTTTGAGTGCTGGTAAGGCTTCGTAACTTCCTGATTTCACTTGAGCAACGACTATAAATGGTTGTTACGTAAAATGTTGGATTTTTCTACTCACCATTGTTGAAACTTTCATTCATGCTTAATTTTTTTTATCCTGCTCTGTCTGATTTGTATCCTTAAAAAAATTGATGTAAAAAACACATTGATTTGTTTTCTCTAGGATTTTAAATCTCTTTCCACCTCTTCCAGTATCTTTTGCCCCTTTGGCTGTTCCAGTATCCCAAGGGGAACAGATTAACCTGAGCAACAACTCAACTCCAGATCTGACAGAGCTGATTAACTTGGTCAAACCCTCAGACAGCAGCAGCAGAAACCTTGTTCCTTCAGAAGGCCACTTCTCCACTGGAGGCCCCTCACAGTACCATGCCAGCATTAGTAATCACATGCCAGTGGTCAGCATGAGCAGTGGTGACCATGTTTCAAGTAGTGACATCAACAAAGCTTCCGTCATTCAGCTACATTCTAGTTCATCACAGATGTCACCCATGTCACAATCTTACAACACTGCAGAGTTAGATGCTTTGAATGTGTCACAACCATATACAGTCATGGCTATACACTTGCCTAATTTAGGTAAGTCTATTCGTACAATAATTGATCTTTCTTTAAAAAAAATCTTTGTGACATTTCATTTTATGACAAACATAATGTGATGTTGAATGTATGATTTCTTTAAACTAGTTTTGATTCTTTCCAATGAGTACTAGTTAATTCAATTGTTTCAGCTATGAATGGAACTAACTCAGTTCCTCAGTATATCATGAACACCCCTGAAGCAGATTCTGTCAACATTCCAGATCATACCGAAACTAAGGTTACATTTTCAAAGATTTTAAAATACAGAGTTAATATTAAAACAATTTTGGTGACAGTGTTTAAAGTTTGAGCTATTTAAACAATGTTCTGTGATTTTAAAGGAGTTTCTGCTGTGTGGATTGTGTCGGCTTGCATTTAACACCATGGAGGAATGCCAAGCCCACATGCAGCTAGAACACAAAGAACTGATGCAAGGGAGTGGGGTTAGCATTGGTGTACAGGTGAGAGAAGTGTGGAAACATTGTGTTGACATCAGCTGTAGATAATTTAGCTTATCAAACATCCATATACTGACTGCTTCTCCTAAATAAAACAGACGGATGGTGAATAAAATGTAATTAACTAAAGTACACACTAATACTTTGTTTAATTTAGGAAAACTTTTGTTATCATTCACAACACCATTGTTTTTAAAGGATTTTGTTTTATTTTTAAAGATTTAACTTGTAATGCATGCATGATTAAAATATATTTGATTCGGTAAATCTATTTTCCTTTATTAAATAAATAGTTGTTTTAATACATTTCTGTACCAAAATGTGTTTTCATGTAAAAAAATTAGCCTTTGCAGTGAATACCAGGTAAGATAACAATCTCATCATATATTTCCAGGCAGGTGGTGCCAAGCGAGGTAGAAAACGCAAGTCTGAGCAGCAGCTGAAGATAAAAACTGAGTTCCTTGATTCTGAAGACCTTGAGTGGTTGCCCAGTGTATCTGACAACAGTAGAACTGCTCACGCTGATGGTAGCATGCGACGCAAGGTCAAGCCTCCACGTGCTTTGAAAGAGGACTATGTTCTTGGAAAACGTCCTAGAAAGCGAATCAGAGAATCATGTGTAAACTTGGGTTATAAAATTGTCTGCCCCATGATGAATTGCAAGGCTAAGTTTAAAACTGATCTTGGTATGTTGATGATTAAATATTGTTACATCTTGGTAGTTAAAAAAAGTTTTCAATTTAATGTACTGTAAATGTACAGGTAGAGAAGTAGGAAGCAATACTTTTTTAGACGTTTTTGTTTTCCTTAAGCTGAATGTTCTTTTTGTGTTTAACGTGAATTTTCCCGACGCCAATAAAATGGATGTGTATTAATTTAGGTTTACACATTCATATGTCTTGTCACAATATGGATGACACTGCCTTTACCTGTATGAAATGCCAAACTCACCATGAATTCTGGAAACACTTGAGGATACATTTATGGAGACAGCACAAGGTTCGATATGAATTGTTAAAGCTGTGTATTTGAAATAGCTCTGCTCGAGTAACCAAACACCTATAGTGATGTTTTTTATTCTTAGGTTGATTGTGATCTGTTTAAATGTGAACAGTGTGATTATAAGACTGATACCCATCATAAATTAAGCATTCATAAGGTTTGGCATATTTTTCTTGTAAACATTTTAAGTAGTAAATTACTAGATATTTCATATACTAAAAATATTTTCTGTAATGTTTATCTTCCTAAAATATGAACAGAGTAAATTGTGTTGGCTAATTCTCATGTACTATTTGTAGGAGATTCACACCAATGTTAAGCCCTACACTTGTGATGCTTGTGGTAAAGGCTTCAGACAAGCCTCCCAGATGAAAAATCACCAAGTGATTCACGCAGATCGTGGGGAAAAGTCCGGAGCCAGGGGTTGGTTCTCATCTAAGTCATGTGATGTTTGTGATCGTGTTTTTGCTAACAGGTTTGTTTTACTTTACAAACAGCTGGAAATTTATTTAGTAATTACATGCAGGGTTCGACCTTCCATTAAACTGCTTTTGAAATCTTGCAAATGCTGACGATTAGGGCTAGACAAACCCGTCCCTCCTTGTAACTATGGTCACTGATATCTAAGCTTGTGTGAACTGGGGGGGGGGGGGGAATAAGTTACATCACAGTTCATGTTATGATGTATTAACCCTTAAAGCGCGCCTGGCCACGATCGTGGCTTTGCTATAACAGAACGTATAACGCGTAAGGCCACGATCGTGGTTTCGTGTGTTTGCGGCCGTATTTTTCGTAAATACTCGGCAATTAGACCAGTAACCGTAAATATACGACTACTTCCGCCATTTCCGATTTCAAACATCGTGGTTTAGAGTTTGCAGTGTGAAAGCAAAATTTTTTACAAATTATAATGGACAACGACTCAAGTGACAGCGAAGTTGATTTTCCTAATCTCAAGAACAGAATTGAGACTGATGATGAATTTGATAGCAGCGATTTAGATGATTTGTCTGGTAAGTGTTCGACTTTAAATTTAATAAATAGTAGATCTAATACTTTCTCTTCAGCGTGGTATGGTGAGTTGTAAAAATAAAGTAGAAAAATGTGACATTATTTTATTTCTACTCTAAGGGTGTGGGTGTTTGAAGTGCCACGCCCACCTCTTCAGGTAGATACTGTTTTAAAATTTATGAATGAATAGCTAGAACTATCGAATCTATATTAAATTTTACTACTTAGGTAAACAGATGTAAATGAAATCAATTTAATTATAAATAAATAATAAATAGGCTCTAATTAATTAATTTTAAATCTATTTTTCAGATTCAGAGGACAGGGAATCTCTTACAGCTGATGGACATTGGCAGCCTATTGTTGGAGAGGATTGTGGCCCTAGACCTATCCAGTTTACAGCAAATCCAGGACCCAAGCATAAACCAGCTGCTACTGCAAAGCCTGTTGAATACTTGGATCTGTTTTTAACAGCAGAGCTCACCAATGTCATCATAGCTGAGACCAACTGCTACGCTAGTGATTTTATAGAGACCAACAAAGAGAAGTTGGACAGCCTTCCCCGATCACGAGTCCACAAATGGACTCCACTCACCCTAGCTGAGTTTAGGGCCTTTCTAGCTGTGGTCCTGAACATGGGCTTAAACCAAAAGCCCAATTACAACGCTTATTGGGACTCCTGCCACCACAGTCAAGAAACACCATGGTTCCCTGCGCATTTTAACCGCGACAGGTTCCAGATAATTCTGAAATTTCTCCACTTTGCTGACAACAGCCAGATGCCTGAAAGGGATGAGCCAAATTTTAAGCTTTTCAAGATAAAGGAAGTGGTGGATTACTTCAACCAGAAATTTATCTACCACTACCATCCCTTTCAGAATATCAGCATCGATGAGAGCATGATTGGGTTCAAAGGACGCACCCCCTACCTTCGCCAGTACATGCCCAATAAAAGGCACTCAAGGTTTGGCATCAAGCTGTGGTGCTTGTCAGACAGCTCAAATGGCTATCTATGCCAATTTGAAATTTACACTGGCTCTCAGGCTAAAAGACCAGCAGTTCCTCCAGCCAGGTCATTCACCCACGAACTTATTATTCGTCTGCTGACCAATGCAGACTTGCTACACAGAGGTCACCACTTGGGTGTGGATAATTTTTTCACCTCTGTGGATTTGTTCAATGAACTTTATTCTCTGAACACTACAGCTACTGGCACTGTCAGGATTAACAGGAAAGGGCTGCCTGAATTTTGTGTAAAAAAAAAATTAAAGTCAAAAGAAATAACATCCGCACGGAATGGCAACCTTCTATGTTTGGCCTATCAGGACAATAACAGAAAGCCTGTTCTGTTGTCTACCATGGCAAAGTCTGGCTTCATTGACACAGTCAACAGCAGGAACCAAGCTGTCAGGAGGCCTGCTGTTATTCATACATACAATGAAGCAATGGGTGGTGTGGACTTAGGGGATGAAAAACTTTATATGTACCTGGCTGAACGTCGAACCCTCAAATGGACAAATAAAGTTTTCTTCTCATTGTTGGGTAGAGCTGTGCTAAACAGCTATATATTATACAAGCTTAACACTACAGACAATCCTGTGCTTTCTAGATACAATTTTATAATTTCTGTTTTGGAGAGCCTGGCCTCAAAGTTCACACCTGCAAAAATTGTTCGTCGCAAACGGACAAGGGAGGAAATGACAACCGCAAGAAATGGTGTTGAGTCCCCAGTGCCTTCCATTTCCAGTCATCCACTAGATGGCCATGACTTGGTAAAACTGCCAGTGGGCAAAAAAAGACAGTGTGTTGCAGGTCATTCTGCAAGAGTCAGAAGTGGGTGGGAGTGTTCTGGCTGCAATGTTGGACTGTGTCCGGAATGCTTTTCCAAATACCATAGGACCCTGTAGTTACTAGTGTTTGTGATTTCTATCAAAGATATATATGTGCTTGTTTTAGTACTTTGTTTTTTTATATTGTGGTGTTTGTTTTTTAAAATTTATGTGTATTTTATTCAAGGCATTAAAATTATTTGTGTTGGTGTAAAAAAATGGTTTGTATTTAATTTTCTTACATTTTTACAATTGTGTTTTTATGTTTATAGTTAATGTGTTATCATATTCTTTATTATTTAAGCTTTCCAATAATATATGGGTTTGTAGGTCTAAAATATATAGATCATACTTAAATATGGCCAAATTACAAGGGGGTATCAAAATTTGTGAACATAGCAATTTTGATCCCATTTTTTAATGCACTTCCTGGAAACCAGCTGAGCGCTTTAAGGGTTAAACAGGCGTACTGAAGTTTAGACTACCATGACCTCAAAGTGACCCCTTCTCAGTGTCTTGTTTGGGGGGAGGGGGGGGGGCAGGAATTTTGTAATAGCAGACTAAAGTTTCTCAGACAAAAGCATAAATAATGATGTGGTTACTGCAGAATGTTTTTTTTTTGTTGCTACAATTTTTCTTTAAATGTAGCTTACTTTATTATTATTCTTTTTCAGTAATTAACTATCACTAGTATGCAATACCATTTTAGTAATAGTTTAATTGAAAGCATAAGCAATTAGATCATGAACAGATTACATAAGTGCAGGGGCGTAGCGAGGGGGGGGGGCGGGGGGTGCGGACCGCACCGGGTGACACCATTTAGGGGGGTGACACCAAGGCAAAAAATAGCAAAATATATAGAGAAAAACTCGAGGGGGGGGGGTGCAAATCGAAAGTTTGAGGGGGGTGCAAATAGAAAACTCGAGGGGGGGGGGGGTGCAAATCGAAAATTTGAAAGTTTGTCCCTGGGAAGGGTCTCTATGCCTCTGGGGGGTGACACCATTAAGTGCCGCACCGGGTGACACCCGACCTCGCTACGCCACTGCATAAGTGTAATGTTGGAAACAAAGGTTTCATCATTTTAATCAATTATTTTAATTATTAAATTTTTGGGGGGAGTGGTACAGGCAAACTTAGAAAAGATATTTGGCTAGAGTAAGTTCAATATAATTATTAGCTCAATTGCCTAAAATAACTGTTAATTTATCATACTGAGAGTATGAATGCATAATTTAAAAATTAGTCACTAAAACTTCTGTATAAATTCTGGAGTTTTTCCAAAAAAGTCTGGAATTTCATTTTCAAAAAGTAGTACAAACAACCCTTTATATGTCATGTCAACACGGAAAGGGTTTTTTTTAGAATTTTGAGTTATGAAAATATATTAATTTTAGTTATTGATTAAATTATGGCTATTTAATTGTACAAATTGATCTTTGTATTGATTGATTGATTGCCAGCAAGTGCTTGAAGAAACATAAAGAAGCAGTACACACATCACATAAACCATTTGAGTGCATGTACTGTAACCACACAACAGCAAGGAAAGCAATGATGGAGTTGCATATCAGAACACACACAGGGGAAAAACCTTTTAAGTAAGTAGCCATTTTGAAATAGTTATTTAAGGATCCATTTATGTAGTGGAGTATTTTTGTTAATTTAACTTATTTTATTACTCGTTTATAAAATAATGCCTATGACAAGTCTATTTAGAACACCTAAAAAAATGTTCTGTTATTTCCAAAGGTGTGATATATGCACATACAGCACTGGTGATCACAACTCTATGAGACGCCATAAGGTAAAACATTAAAATCTTTCACCTTTATAGAGTTTGAAGCAAAAGTAACATACTCAATTATAATTCTAAATAGGCAGTGAAATGGTTCTTATTTAGTTGAGTAGAAAGGACAAGATCACATGATAAAATATATGAACCTCTGACTGCCCCACCCTGATATGTATATAAACTTAAGAACTGCAGTGAAGATTTTTTCTTGTTGTGTATTTTCTAATGTATTTAAATGTAATATAAAGCTCTGAGAATAAAAGACGTGACATGGTTGAGTGGTAAAGCACTTGACTGCTAACTAGAAAGACACTGGTTCGTATCACAGACTCTAGTGTCTGTAGGACATCCTTGAGTCATCCAGCTTTGATGGGTATCTGACTCCCTTTTAAGATAACTAAGGTGGCTGGGCATAGTACTGACCACACTATCCCCATGTATGTCAAGTTAATTGAAACAGATGAACTCTACTTCATCTTCCCCGCATGTCTTTGGCACGAACAGGAAAAGATTATATGTAAATTAGCTTTTTTATTATTTTACCCATACATTCATTTCTAATGTTTAAATTTGCTGTTCATTAACAAACTAGATGCGGCACACTGGTCAGAAACAGTACAGGTGTACACAGTGTCCTTACACATGTATCCAGAGTATTTCCTTAAAGCAGCACATGAGACACAAGCACCCAGGGACCTCAGCTGGAATATTCCAGTGCTCACGATGTCCTTTCCGCACAATCAATCAGGGAATCTATGGCAATCATATGCAGGTAAACACGTCTAACCAGTCAAAGATACAGGCTTGGTACTTGCTGGTTATGCTGTAGAGCACTCATCAAGCATCAAAGGCTGTTTTTAACTCCTCTCCCTTTGATTTCACAAAGTAAAAATTACGTGTATGGATATTGGACTGAGAATACAGCAGTTAAATATATGAGATAGTCTTGTGGTAGAGCATACTAAGGTCTCAAGTTTGATTTAGGCCTTAGACAACAGGACATCCCAAAGTCCCCCCAGCTGTGATAGATACCTTACTGAAGTAAAAGAAAAAAGTGGACTCTGCTTCATCTGCTCTATTGAATGGGAATTAATAGCTGACAATGTACATTGTCAACCTTGTCCTAACAAGTGTAGTAGATTTTGTTTACTTGTTTAACAAAATATTCCTCATTTTTTATTTTCAGGACCATAAAAAAGGCTTAATACCTGATAAGCTGATACCTCCTAGATTAGAATTACCTAAAAGTAAAAAGTTAAACCACAGATCTCAGAGTGGAAAGCGTCAAGCAGCAGGACAAACCTTGGTTAGTTGAAAGAAATGTGAATTTTTGGAATTTGTTTTAACATTGTCAAAACCCATTATGTGTGATAAAATTCAAATCTGCAGGTTGAACCATTGCTAATAAAACACCCGCAGTTCCATGCTGTTTTACCAGGCAGTGAACCAACATCATTGACAAACATTAGTGGAGATGCTATAGGGGGACTGAATGCTGCTAACAATGAAGCCTCACAAACTGAAGTTTTTACAATGCAGGTAACTAGCACCTAACTCTGTTGCCTGAAAATATATACATTTTTAATAATATAATAATTTTAAAAAATTTCTTGCAACAGGTGACAATGTTGCCAGAGGGGGACACCCAGATCAGCGCTGATGACATGACAAGACTGTCAGAGAGCACAGGTCTTCTTGCTACAGGAGTTTCACCCCTTCAGCTCATCTACGCAACACTTTCAACAATATCAGAACAAGGGGAGCTTGCCAGGGTTGGAGAGGGCAGGTCAGCTTTGTTAACTGCTGAACTGATTGGGGGAATTCATACTGCAGTTCTTAGTTCCATGCAGGACGGTGTGACTGTTCATTCAATATCATACCATCTCCCTAAGGTTTTAACCACAAATGAAATGAGCGGACAGATCAAACTAGACGGTGGTTTGATTAAGACCATAAAAGTAGAAAACACGGATGAAGCATTTCCAAAAGATGAATCAGGTTCAAACCCTGTGGTTTTACCCCACAGTTCCAACCATGTTGATTTATCCCATCTGGTTGAGAGTGCTGATGACAAGTGTGACGAAATATTTTTCATTGGGAACTCTGAAACCAGGACGGACAGTGTTGTTGTCACTGATCAAAGTGTCACCAATGAAAAGCTCAAGAAATCCCAGAAGAACAGAGTTGAGAAGATTCTGGGTTCTAGTGCACTCAGGGAGATGTTAGAGTCTAGAGAGAAGTTGACTGTCCTCAACACAGAAAATGGGGAAGTGAACTTCCTAACTGTTGATTTTCTTGAGCCCCAACCCATAAGTTCAACTTCCCAAGTTTTTAGCTCCAGTGAAGACAGCTAGCGTTGTGAGAGTAATGTGATAGTAACATTTTTTTTACAAATGTTTTATTTATAATTATCTGGTTCTTCAGTATTAATTCAAGACATGCTCTGTTGGTACACACTTGATTAGTTGTTTTCAAACAACTTAAATATTTATTTCTTGAAACAATGGAATCTCAATCTACTGCATATCATTTTGCAAAAGCCAGTGGTGTTCATATTAAAAAAAAAATTCTTTTTAATTTTGCTTTATTAAAAATTAAATTTGTTGCTAATGTTACTGTTAAATAAAATTTTAAGAAAATCTTGAGCTTTATTTTACTTTTAAAATAAGAAACCAGCAGGCAAGAGAGCTCTTGTGTTTGAGTTATTTTAAATAAAACAAGATCAGTGAGATAATGTGTCTATCATTTTTTCAACACACTGAAAATAATAGATAAAACAATCTTGTTAGTAAAAGCAACACTATCTAAAATTTCGAAGAGATTTCATGAGCGACCAATACTTTTAATTTAGAGAATGTTTTTATTTTCAGTGCTTTTAAAAACTTCTAGATCAGGGGTTCCCAACCTTTTTTTACTCTAGAGCACATTCTAAAATATCGGTAGGGTGGCGGGCACCACCTATTTAAAATCGACAAACTCCTTCCATAACTTGTCATTTTCCCATAATTTATTTTCTTATAGTAATAATGTATTAAAAAATAATAAACAAAAATGTTTCAAAATAATAAAATTATTTGGTATTTTTTTCAAATTGCATACACACAGAGAAATGTATTTACAAAACATAAATAATGCAGTCAAGTTGGGACTAGTATTGAATATATTTAATAAACCTAGGCAGTCAAAAAAAAAAATTAAAACTAACAAATTAATTAAAATAAATCATATTTTAAAATAATGTTTATGAAAAAAATTCTGTCTCTGTCGAATAGTGAGAGGCGGGCACATACGAATCGTTCGTTTGGGAACCCCTGATCTAGATTGTTTATTGATAAAAAAATGTAGTTGCTTTAAATTTAAGACATAAATACAGCTCATCTGTATGACAAAATACATTTGTTACAATATATATTGTGACCCATTTGTAGTAGACTATAACTAATAGTAATCTTCTTGTTGAATTTTGAAGATTATTTATCAGGTTTGTATTTTAAAAAAGCTGTCATTAGAGATAAATGTCTCTAAAAACTCAAAATGCAATTGCCATTAGAAGTGTATCAAAACTGAGATGTGCCACTAAACCAGACAGACATTGTGAACTAAGTACTAAATGTAAAAATTTGAAGTTGTAATTAAAATAGTCTCACATTTCTACAGAATTGTAGTTCTGAGGGAATAAATTTATGTCCAGGTTTACCTCTATGTATTTAACTTCTGTCTGCAGTTATTCCTGGGTGTACTTACAATAACTTATAGCCTTTTTTCTACTGATAACATCTGCAATGCATCAGTTTTCTTCCCTAGATAAGTAGAGTCCTCAGCTAACAAGTCTTATCTGCCTGGATGTGGTCCAGGGACTTAAGTTAGCAGTCACACACTTGATCATAAGCCATACAGACAATCAAGCAAGTGACTCTTACACAAGTTTGACATAAAATTTATTATTTCTGCATCACTTATATTGCAAACAAATTACAATGAATTTACAAGACAGCAAAGTTTATGAAAGACAATCAACTGGGCAAAACACTGGCTTTCAACTTCTCAAGATTGTGAGAACACGCATGTGTTAAAAAGTCTAACCACTTGGTATCCTCATTATTTGTAAGTTTGCAATCTCTGGTGAAAAGTATAAACAAAAAGAAACATTGAAAAACAAGTCAAGATAACGCTAGGTATTGTATAAAAAATTAATTTCACTCATGAAAATAAAATTTCAAAACAAAGTTTGTTTTAATTAGTTACATTTAATGAAGTAGGTGTCAGAAAGGTGTAGGCCTACTATAAAAACTGTTTGGGACAAAAGGGAAAAACCTGAATGCAATAATTTGATCATAAAATGAGATAATAAAAATGCTAATTTACTTACTTTAAAAATTTTATAATGTTTCTGCCAACTTCAGAAAGGACTTCACCCTGCAAAACAAACATTTGTTTTACATAAATTTGCAGCATAAAATGCAAGTGAGCAAACCCAAGAAAGAGTAATAATGAAAGTTTGTTAAAGTAGAAACTCACATTCTGAACAAAGGCATCATAATCCATGGGAGGATAAATGCCAGATACAAAGTCATCCACTACGCTGCTGACACCTGATGTCAAAGTTGACAATTCATCCAATGTAGATATGCCCTCATTAGTTGAAATATCTCCAGATTTTTCAACACAGCCACGAGTTTTTTTAACAATGCTAAGCAATGTTTTGACCTACAATAAACAAAGAATGTGATATTAGTTCTAACTACAGACACATACAACTACTAATCTTTTGTATTGCAGTCTTTTAATGAAACAATTTAAAAAAAAAATAACTGACCAGACCACCACAAGCAGAGATCACAGTTTTATCATGTTCTGACCACTTGTCATTATCTTCATCAAGCAAATCGTCTTGCATTTCAATTGAACTAGCCTGAAAATTATTTTTTTTTGCTTCATATTGAGGTTAAATTTGCATAATTCACAAATATTTTTACAACAATTGGTTTCAAAAGCCATCCAAACTGTTTTTAAAGTTGTAATTGTTTCATTTTGAAAAACATTGTTAAAAAAATATATTTTTTTATTAAAATGTATTTAAAGTGCTTTCTATTTAAATGTAATTTCATGGGAAAAAAATTTTAGTTGTCTTTTTAAGGTATTTTTTCACATCCAATAAAAAAAAAAGTATAAAAATCTTTTAAAAACAGCTAACTATTAAATGCACAAGAATACGAAAAAAAAAGCAAATAAATTCTCTAAATTTTAAAATGTATTATAAATTTCATTTGGCGTAAACTGTTGTCTAAAGAAAGAAAGGTTTTATTTTCTTATTTTGAGTGCTTTTATAAGCTTGTTGTTATCTAAGTTTTAAGTTAGTACTTGTTTAAATTTCTACCTTAAAATAACTATGAATTTCATTCAATATTTTTAATTAAGTCCACACACAACTAAAAATAGTTGCTTTACAAAGATCTTGCAAAAAAAATCTCATTCACATGGCTGATTGTGTTATCCTATTATCTTCCCTTTGTTTTTTACCACTATATATAAACTTTTGATGACTAGTTTAACATCAAATTAGGAATGAAAATGTATATTTTTGCAGTCATTTGGAATAATCTAATCTGAAAAATTTGAATGTCAACACTGGATTAGAAATTGGTTAAAATGGAATTACAAGATTTGACCACTAATCCACCCACCCAGACAACCTTGTAAAAAAATTAACACCTGGAATGTTTTTTTTTGTTTACCGACAATTTAAATTATTTTATTTTTACCTTTTCCAGCTCTTGTAACGCATCTTGAACAAGCTCATATGTTTCTTGTAAATCTTTTAAAACACATTCTCTGTTATCTGCACACATAGATTGTAAAATAAAGTAATAAATACTAAAAAAAAAAACAACAACAAATATAATTCTTCATGAAAGTTTAAAAAGAAAATTACATCACCTCTCAGAAGAACAAAATTGGAAGCTTCCCAGACTCCCCCTGTCCACTGAATTCTCTTATCACTGTAGATACAACACATCACAATCTAAGATGTTTACAAACAACTCAAGTATTTATGTATGTACACTTTAACAAAATGTTAAGGTTCAAATGAAAAAGTAGCAACAAAAAAGAAACTTTTCCACACAGGCGACATTAGTGAGGCAGGGGTCCCAAATAATGGACGATTGTGGACTGGAGAAGGAGGGGGTGTTCTAGTTTACATATGTTTAATTTAAAACAAAATAAATAATGAATTTATACTTTGACAGTTAAAATATAGCCTACTACTTATTTTTCACAACATTTTATAGGTTCTACTTTTTAATTTGTGAGCCCAAAAAATAAAGATTACCGAAAATATAAAATCTGTATATTAACTAACACAAAGTATATAATTATAATACTTGTAATTAAAATAGTAAATTGGAAATAAGTTTTGGGAAGTCTGCTAGATTTTTGTGGACATTCACATCGGGAGAGGGAGGGATGTTTTGTCAAAAGGGTACTAGTTTGTGGAGGGGGGTTGTTGGAAGATCAAAATTTGTGTGGATGTCATTAATAGATGACCCCTTATCAAATAGACTCAAATTGACTGGCATTACTATTTAAAATTAATTTAAGTTGTAGGTTGTTCATAAAACTGTGATTAAGTCTTGAAAATACCTTTGAGAATTGATGCAATCAGACAGTGATAAGACGAACTGCTGCAGGTTATCTAAAACTTGAAGCACAGCTTGTTGAAGATGAGACTTAAGTGTACTGCCTATAGCAGAGAAAAGGAATTCAATGTTATGATTTACAGTGAAAATTATTGATTAAACAAAAATAAGATTCTGATAGCTTATTTGTCATTAATTAGGATAATTTTTGTCAAAGAGAGCAACATTTATTAAAAGAGATGACTACCTTGAGAAGTAGGAAGGGAGTAGTATATAGAAACTAAAGTTAATATAGCTTTTTCCATCTCTTGAACTAATGCCTCTGTATTCTGTAAAACAAAAAAAGTTTTAATTTATTAAAGTTTTTCCTAAACTTTCAATATTCTATTTTACTCTATTTCTATTTTTAACAATGGAAATAGAGTACAGTTAGCATGTAAAGCAATTTAAAATAACTATTTTTTTCAAATTAATTTGTTTATCAGACATCTTAGTATATTCATTTGGTGATATCTTACCTTATTTGAAGGAAATGGTTTCTTAGAAAATGCCAATGAAAGCTTAGTGGTTTCCATGGAGAGAATTTTAAATATGGCAGCTGTGAAAATATAAAGCATGTAGTTTTTGCCAAAGAAAAATGTGTTACTGCAGTTCTCCACAATTTTTCTTATTTACTCTTTTACAGGTACTACTTTTGGAAAACTATTTTAACCTCAAGAAATCATTAAAGTTTTAATATTTTAAAATGTGATTTAGAAAGAAAACTATTCTAGAAAAGATTCATTAATACCAATTTTATTCCAATAAGTTTCTTTGTCAAACTCAGCAGCATCTTTGCGGGTATTCACTCCATCTGAAATGAAAATTAAAGATTTACAAATCTATATAGGTTTAGGTAATTTTATATAGGTTTAGGTCATTTTATGTACTGTCAAAAAACAGGTAAAAAATTAAAAACAAAATATTTAGAGGAACATTACAAAATTGAACATAAGCAGATAAGGTAAAGAAAACAAGTTTGGAGATACTCCTTATCTGCACACATTAAAAGTAAGTTACCATTTTTAAACCAGGTGGTCTATAAGGCAACCAAAATAAGAATTCACCAGTTTTCTGTGACCTTAGCATATGAAGGAATGTGTGTTCAATATTTTGCTTATCCTTCCCTAACATTAGTCACAGCTTGGTGGACACTAGGATATCCTATGCACTCAAGCTCTGGATTAAATCATGACCTTTTCAGGTAAGCAGTTGTCAACTAACAATCGCAACATTAAAACTAGTAGGCCCATTCATTGGTACAAAATAATCACAAATGGATGCGAGATGGATCTTGTTGAGTTTTAGATTGTATTGATAAAAAGGATAAAAAAAGAAGACAATATCATTACGTAATTAATTAGCTAATAAATTAATTAAATATTGCTAGGCTTAATGATCATATATTTTGGTTTACGATACAACACACATCAAGTGTGTGGTATGTGGCCTGACCTATTTAAATGAGATTGTTTATATTATTGTTTTGAGTTTATATTTAACTCAATGCAACAAGCCCACCGATTGGTTGAGGCCAGGCCGGGGGACGTTCTGACCGGGATTCAAAGGGACAACTCGAAATATCGTCCTCATTTACTTATCAAGTATGTTCTTTCATCAGACATTTTTTGGTGATGTTTTAAAAATGTACAAAATTTGTGTTTTCTACTTCCACTTCCCTTATAATTTTTTCAAAAAGTGAGAAAGGCCAATTTCAATGCAATTAATTTAAATGATGTAGGCCTATTTATTTTTGAGGTTGGAAAAAAATTGAGTCTGTTCTCTGTGTATGTGTGTTTGTGTTGAGTTCAAAAGATTTTGTTTATGACATAGATCTAGTCCAGGGGTCTCCAAACTACGGCCGGCGGGCCGCATGCGGCCCGCGAGGTCCTTTCATCCGGCCCGCGGAGATAATTTTGTCCACGGAAAAAACATTTGTTGGTGATGGCTGAGGAACTTAGCTCAGAAAAATCACGACATGCCTGGAAGAAACTGGCCCCCGAACTGAAATTTGATAGTCAATGCGGCCCTCGGACTGAAAAGTTTGGAGACCCCTGATCTAGTCTATATTTTTATTTTTACTGTGAGATGTAACCTCTCAAACATGGCACTTTTTAGGATGTTGGAAAAAAAGTTAAAAACCAATTTTTCAAAACGTCCCAACTTTTTTACTTGATCTAGATCTATTTGAGATATGTGATAAAAATTTAGGGCCCACTAGATCTATCTTAGAATCATGAGTTCTTGACATAGCAACTTTCAAAAAAGCTCTGGTACCGTTTTAAAAAATCAGTTTGACACCCCTAATAAAAAGCATGTTTTAAAACCTTGTCAACAATTATATTTATAAACTGAAACTCAGTATCTCACGAATATGATCCAATGATTCTCGTCAACTCAGTCGCCTCGCCTCCAACCAATCCATCATTTCATTATCCAATGGATCCATTCATTCAACATTTTGTCATTTTCACGTGCTTTTAGTGCCTTTTTAGTAAGTTTGCTACTCATACTGTTTGTTTTTTCAATTTTTTGGGTCTATGCCTAAATAAATAATTAGCCTATATCAATCCGGGTTCTTATTTTAAGTTTAGTTTACCAGTTATTTGTCTCGATACAAGCTGAATGTTCTCTCTAAGATTTTTAAAGATATCACTTTGGTCATGATTGTTGTGTACATTTACATTGGAGGCCATCTTTAATTCTTTAGTCTCTCTAATTACCAAAACTTTAAAAAATAACCCAAAAAAAACAAAAAACCAATAGGCCTAACTAAGACAATATCTTTCTTTTGTCTTCACATAAGAAAAGACTGAAGCGTCAAGACTATGCCCAGCCACTTTTACTTTACTTAATTTGAGACAGGTAGGCCTCCACATGTGAATTGCGTGGACAATAGGACCCTAACTTGAGACTTTTCATTAACAATCTATTGGACACTATTGGTCTATTACTTAATATAAGGCCACTCAGTCCTATCAAACAAAATGTCTACATGTATATAATTCTATAAGATTTAAACAGTGATAGGTCTAAAATAAAAACATGGATATTAATTCAATATTTAGTTCTATATTTCGATTCCATCCATTTATGATGCCCACAAAAAAAAGAGGCATTTTAATCCACCTATCACCCCATATCCACTTTGTTGGCCTTTCAAAACATACTGTTATTAAAAAAGGTCACTCGCAGGTTCAAGACATCTATTTATCTTACCTTCAGTGCTCGATAACTGCAGAGGTACTAATTTTATAAGAATGGATCGATAACTGCAGAGGTACTAATTTTATAAGAATGGATATTTAATTACCCACAAAGTTGCACCATTTATATGTATAGATTTTGTGAGCAGTTTAAACATTTTGTGTTTTCTTGTAGCATATAAATATTATAAGAATATTGATGTTTCATTCAACATGCTTACGTCTGCATGAATCAAACACTGCCTTTCCCACACATCCACAAAAATTGACTTCATCAGGACACCCCCTAGTGGTCATCATAAATGGATGACCCATTACTTAATGTGGGCATTTTTCTTAGCTAAATTTTGCTTTATGAAGGATTTCTATTTGTTAACATGAAAGAATAATGACTAAAATTTAAAAAAAAAAAGAATTTAACATGGTTTAATCAAACAATAACTTAGCTATATTATAACATTTTAACTTTATAAAAACATAAAATAAATACAAATATATATATTCTACCCTAATAAACAGAAGTAAAAAAAAAATCGCAACACATTTTACTCTGTTGATCACAATACATTTTATTGGAAGGGTTAACAACAGTTTAGGTAGTATGTCACAATTAAGCCTGTGTACATATAACATTAGTGGAAATAATTTCACCTATAAAGACACATGCACATTTCCATTTGAAAAAAAATGGAACAGCGTTTTAAATTATCACAACATATTAAGCTTCACAGGGTTGAACAAAATTAACCTCAGCTATAATAAATTAACATTGAAATAATAATTATTTTAAAATATATGTTAAAACAATAACATTTCTTTCACACAAAATGTAAATTTAAAAAATTAAATTCATCTAGAATATCACCATACAACCTCCGCTACCCCCAATCACTTATTCCTACTGTCCATAATGCATTTTCTGTCTTTGTTTTATTTTAACTTATGTGTTGTGCTTTCCTTGAAACGTACATGTTAAAATTCACATTTTTTTCTGTTGTCTCAGGTAAATAAACTTGTTTAAACCAATACAACACTTTAATCACAAAACTTTCACTACATAGAAGAATATTTTTACATGAAATCAGAGACAACAAATGTTACAATTTAGATTTTTCTTTAGCAGCTTCCACTTGCTTCCTGTAAGCATCCAGAGTTTGGTGGTATACTGCCTCTTTCATTTTTCTTAATGAGTCTCTTGGATAGCCGTTCTTTCCATAAAAACTCTTCAACACTCTTAAGGTATCAGGCAACAGCAGACTTTCATTTCGTATTGCACTGACGAGGCCACAATTAAATGCTTCTTCTGCTGTGTATCTTTTGCCCAAAACAACAGCATCAGAAAAGTTTTTACCAGTGCCTATTTTGTCCCTACAAAAAATGTTATAAGGGAATCAAGATTTTCACAAAACTAATTAGTTAGCTATAAAATACTTTAAAAAGTAATGTACCCTCTCAAAACTGTCTTTCCTCAGGGCAGGTGAAGTAGAGTTCACCTGTTTCTGTAGCCTTAGCTAATGAAGGGATAGTGTGGTCAGCACTATGGCCAGCAGCCTTTAGTTTCCCTAATGTGAGTCAGGTACCCATCAGACCTAGGCGGACTCAACTAGATTTTTGGGTTAGTACTCTACCATTGAGTACCATCCAACCACGCTATCCTTATATATACTTTATTTACAAGAAAAAGGAATACATACATCAATTGGCTGAATAATGAATATTAAATTATAACTTAAAACCTTAAAGACAGCCTTACCTTAACATCTGCAATAGGAACTCAGGAAAAATTCTATTAATAAAAACTTCATTAAAAGAAAGCCATCCTCTGTCTACCCTCATTGTGCGAAGATCATGAGCAAATGCCAACAGGGCTCCACCAGCAAATGCATGACCTGGGTAACAGAAATAAAAGAACATAAATTCATATAAGTTCCTATCAAATTTAATATTGGTATAACTGGTATAATCAACAACTACTTGATTTGGGTTTAGATATTAAGACTAGGCTTTGAGGCTGATATAATCTCAAGTTATTAAGGTAGATTCTATGTGTAATTAAGAAATATGTGGTAGGGCAGTTGGAATGAGTTATCATTATATTGAAATAATTCTTTCAAGCAAAAAGTAAATTTTGCAGCAGTAATTCTTCTTCTTCTTCGTTCTTAATTTTTAGTGTTGGAAGGGGTCGAGCCTTATCTGCCATAGGGTTTGAACTCGAGACTTTTTTTTCGAATTTATCAACAATGAGTTTTTTTGCAGACTCGACCACGCCTCCATCACAATTAAGTATGTGCCATTGAGGCCATTGACTCCGATTTCAGCCTGCTTTTCTTTTTGGATTTGCTTCCATAGCCTTTGTCCAACCAAGAACAAACTACAAGGCAGCAGTTGTTTAATTTTGGAGTTGTCTCTCCTAGAAGAGTGGCTGTCCCCAGCTAACGAGCCTCATCTGCCCGAGGGTTCGAACTCGAGACTTTTCGGTTTAGCAACCATGAGCTTTACCGACTCGACCACGCCGACCCACGCAGCAGTAATTAAACTTCTTGCTATCCTGGAAAAAAATAAATCTTCAAACAAATAAAAAGGTACTGATATATTAGAATATGGCATATTTCTAAATTTGAAGCAGAAAACATAAACAAACCATTAATAGCTGCCAAAGTTGGTAGTGGAAAGCAAAGTAAACGTTTGAGACTTGCAGACATCAAGTCTAGAAAGTCAAGCAATTCAGGAGCGGATAAATTAGTCATCCATTCAAGATCTAGTCCATTTCCATAGAATTTCCCTACTCCTGTGGTCACTAGTCCTTTGCACGACTCATTACTGTAAAATATTGCATTTTAACTTCAAACATGAAGTTTAAAATATATAAAATCTGAAGTTTGTAATACTCTAAGGCTGTAGTAGTAGCAACAGGTTTAAAATGCTACTAACCTATTAACCTCATCCAATAAACTATTGAAGACTGTGAAAAATTCATTGTTGAGTCTATTTTCTCCTCTGTCTATAACAATAAAGGCAACATCCTCAGCAAAATAAAGGGAAAATCCTTTGATCACCTTGCATGGGTTGTGTAGATATGAAACACTCATGATAATGATTACATCAGATTGAGTAGCTGTGGAGATTTACATAAATATCACATAACTTAATTCACACTAAATGCACTAAAGGATTGCATGGTACTTTAGTTATAATAATAAATTATACAACACGAGCTGACCCGCAACGTAGCATACGCCGCTATCTAATTGTTTTAATTTCTACTTATTAACAATTCATAATTTGTGAATTCGACACTTTGAAACATTTTGTAACTTTCAAAACATAAATCCTCCTAAAAATTTGAAATAATTACTAAAATTTAATTTTTTAATCAGTCACCTTTTTTTTTTACATTACTAGTCTCGGACGTAGGCCTACCAAAAATAATAGATTAATTTAATTAACATACAATATAATAGCTCTAGATCTAGATGCAGCCAAAACCAAAAGGCCAGTTGGACTATTAGTTATTTATTAGTTCTATTACATAACATTGATGATAACATTGGATTACAATGATTACAAAATCATTACATGCTGATTTTACAGAGAGTCTGAGAGAGTGATTAGTTTAGTACTTAGTACTACTGTAGTCTAGTAAAAAAATTGTAGACGCACTCTAGGACTTTGGGCATTAATGCCCTTAATATAAATTATTATGTCATATGAAACAGAGATGTAGATCTACTAACATTTAGATCTAGAGATCAACAACTCACTACACAACTTACGTACGAATCAGACCGGTTTGAACTTTAACCCAAAACAACAATATTTAACAGGAAGTCGTAAACATAAATAATAATATTACTGATAAATATTGTATAAATTGGCCAAAATTTACGGAGATCTAGGGCCTTGTTATGTAGTTAATTAATAATTATTAATTAACTAGGCCTACTTACTGCTAACATAGTTGTAACAACCAAAATGTCCTAAAATTAACCAATAGTCTAGGATATAATTTTATAAATGTTAAGAATATAATATACATTATCAATTTCTAATGTTGATTGAATCTAGATTTCCGTATAAAATAATGACGAAATTCAAGACGGGTTATGCCTGGCCTAGAATCCAAGAATCTGTAAACTTACGGCGGTAAAATTGCGATTTTAAAATTTCAACTCAAGGCCTCTAACTTCAGAAGTCTGTAGAAAGGTTTAGGAGTAAAGAAGAGGGTGTGACTCTAGATCTAGATCTATATTTTAATATTATTTAAACGTTTTAATGAATATTTTAGGGTAAAATCTTAGTTTAGCGTCGTAAATTCGGCCAAAACTAGTAATGTGGGAGAGAGTGAACTAATGAATATGTCATTAAATATAAGTATATTTTCGTATATTTTGATAAAATATTATAGATAATTGAATAATAGATCACCATTTATGATTAAATCAATTTAAATATCCTGAAATTAATTTTTATCAACCCTGTTCGAGATAGTAAATCTGCTATTAAAAACAGCAGCCATGTTGAGAAAATGTTATTTAGAGTAACTTCCCTTTCATTTCTATTCGTATGAAAATGTATTTAAATATGATTGTCTTGTTGTATAGTCCGTATTACAAAACATTTTTTTATTTAAATTCTGCCCTTTAAAAACTGAATTTCCTAACAAACAACTTTATTAATTCTAGAAGCATTGTGAGATGCAACTTGTATCCATGTATTAAATCACGTTTTTTTTAACTAATGTTTATTTGATCTTACTATTACTATATAGTTTGAGTTTTTTCTTATAGTTTGAATGACTATTTTCATTTCAGGTTTTTCTTTTCATTAATTAGTGATTATATCGTAACTTATGACATTTTTTTTTACTTCTCTTTACCTTAATTAAACCCCAACCTCCGTCATATTTTTGTTGTCAATGTCGCAACAAGCAGAGGCGTAGCGACCCTTCCCGGCGCCTGGGGACAAACTTTTCGATTTGCACCCCCCCCCCTCAAACTTTCAATTTGCACCCCCCTAAGCCTTTCAATTTATTTTTCCAACCCATTTTGGCGCCCCTTAAGGTCGGCGAACGGGGACATATGTCCCTCCCCCCCCCCCCCCCCCCCCCTCGCTACGCTACTGACAACAAGTCATAATGTAAAAAATTACGCTTCACTCTGCCTTATCTAAGATCTTTAACCATAATTTTGACAACATTAAATGTTTGTCATCATTTATATATATATATACAGAGAGACAAAATGTATTATCCACCAGCTTCCCCCGTAAAACATTATCTAAAACAATGAGCCAGTCCACCCCTTAAGTGCGTGTTGTCATTATGGTCGATCGCAAGTCTCCACCTGTCAGACACATTTTGGTTATCATTTGTTGTCAAATTGTCAATATCAAGTACCCAAGTGAGTGATATGGGGTTGTCCATAAATGATGTCACATATGATTTGCTATGGGAGTGAGTAAAGATTTGTGACGTCAACTCAGGCGGCTCCGCAATTTATGACGTGTCGGTCTCATGAAAGGAGGTGAACGGGGAAAATACCTAGGTCATTGACAGAGAACCTCTATAATGCTTTGTTCAATCAAAATAACGATAAATAAGCATTAGTATACGTATACCTTGCTCATCACAAATGTTGCAAGCCTGGTAGTTTAAGACATTAGGCAAAACGGCCTCAACACATTATCCCCGTCAAAAAGGCTTGCCACCAAATGCCTGCCGACGAATAAGCCGCGTCTTATGCGGGGCGTTAGGAATACGGCCATGAGCATGGGCCGCGTAAGAGCAACAGTAGGCTATCGCGCTTTGTAAGATGATACTTAAATTCAATTTCGCTAAACTGCGCGAAAATTTAGTAATGTTCCGTCGTTTGAGGAAATTTATTTTCTTGGACTTAAATTGAAATATCATGTTGACTCTCTGGCTCTTAATTTCCAAATATCACTTTTAATGTATCAAGATTCAGAACTATAATTTACCTTAATATAAGTGTCATCTTATCGTTTATTGTGCTTTTTATAAAGCGCAGAGCAGCTTCAAAATCGGACGGCCATCCTGTTTTCACCAAGCTTCTTTTGGAGCTTAATATGGGTAGTCTAGTTCTATACGGTGAGAGCTTAATACATTTTTAAAGGGCCGAAAGTCTCAAGACAGCAGAAATAACCAGGTACCTACTTTAAATGGACGAGTGATAGATGTGTTAGGGGCTGTTTAATGAACACCAACTTATGTAATCAAATTAAACGTCGCATAAGCGTCAAAACGGCAGTGCTTGTTTGTATTTTTCTATAAAATTAGCCTAACGGTCGGCTGTACCGGTATATGACGTCACGCGCGAGCGTTAACTCGGGTGACGATGTGCTAAGTGGGGGAATGAAAAGGTGGGGTTCAAGAAATGCGACTCAGCATGCTTTTTACATTTCTTGACCCTTCTTAATAGTTCTATCGTCCCCACTGAGAAAATGGATCACCAATGAATGACGCGTCATACTTCTACAGCTGGTCTTTCTCCCACAACCATCCCCTGTTTTCACAATAAAAAAAAACCTGACCTGTCTCCAAAATCATATCGATGAGTTCTACTCAACCTCTCCCCACCACAAATCACAATTTCTATCTGAAACAATATGTTCATATGTTTGTTCTGTAATAATGCACGCTGTCATTATTATCTTATGAGCGACATCATGTATGAGCGATCTAATATTGATTTGCTTACTGCAAATAAAGTGTTCAAAAGTTCGACCTCCCAACAATTGTTGTGGTCCTGGATGCACACTATTAAGTCTGAAAAGGTCTATTAGTCATTCATGTCAACTATATTAAAAAAAAGAAAAATATTACTATACAGGGGGTCATCCATAAATGATGTCACGCTTTTTTGACGATTTTTACCTACCCCCCTCCCCTCCGTCACAAAAAGCCAGACCCCCCCCCCTAAAATGACGTCACAACTCAGCCTACAACCCCCCCCCCCCCCCTCAAAATTGCAGTTGAATTGTTTTTAAACAGCTATATTTTTCCAAAATCTTGTCTGAACTCTGTCAAAATAGAGTATTTTAATCAATTGTTATTATAATGTATTAAAACAGTTTTTAAAACGCAAAATAACGTCTAAAATTCGTTTTCTAACATTGCTTTTTTAAAATGCAAAGTGTGACGTCGCACCATCTGAACCCCTCCCCACACAACGTCACAAAATTACGGACCCCCCTCCCCCCTACGAGTGTGACGTCTTTTATGGACGACCCCCGGCATATATTAAAACAATACAAAACAATCATATTAAACCACAAAATCAACACAAAAGACATGCGAATAGACAATTTATTGTTTTTAAAACATGGCCGCTGCTTGTATTTAGTCATTGTTGTCTCGAACGGGGTAGTTTAAAGTTTATTCCAGGATATTTATGACTGGTTTGGTCTTGGATTGTGATTTGTTATTCAATTATCTGTTATATTATGTAAAATATGACATAAATATGGCCAAATGAAAGAAATATTCATTAGTTACCTTCATCGCACATTACTAGCTACGTTGGAATTTACGACGCTAAACTAAGATTTTACCTATTTTAGATACTAATAGTAATAGATACTGCACTGACTTAACAACTACACTCACACTGACACTACACACTACTTTTTACTTTCTCGTATATACGAAGTATACTTGTATAGAGAAAGTATTGTAATCGTGCAAAAAAAAAAAATCGAGATTTTTACAGTTCTCGACGTTTTACACCTCACTGATACGGAAAAACATAATTTTGCAATCTTGTCCGTATGTCTGTGTGTGTCTGTGTGTGTGTCTGTCCGTGTGTAAACACGATAACTTGAGTACCGTTACAGCTAGGTTGATGAAATTTCATATATAAGTATTATATCAAAATCGTAGATCCGTATCAACTTTTGAGCGATTTCCGACAACCGGAAGTGGTACTTTTCCTACTTTGAATTTTTCAAAAGCCTATAACTTGAGTACTATTTCAGATAGATAAATGAAATTTCACATGTAAGTAAAAGATCTAATTCTCTACCTTCTGTTAAATTTTGAGTAATTTCCGTTGACTGGAAGTAGTAATTTACGCTACTTCCGATTTCTCAAAAAACTAATGTAAATTTTTAAAGTACCAATAATATTGCGCACTATTATACGCGTTTTTATTCGGCGTTTGCTTGGTGCGCAATGTTTTTTTTTATGAGATTCTATTCTATTTTTAAAAGTTTAAGTATTTAAAATGGATTAAAAATCATAGCTATATCCCCAGTTACCATCCCCTGTTGTTTTATATAAGAATATTCGAGAAAGTTTAGGGGAGATCACTACCGGTTTATTTTTTACACTACACAGTACTACACACACTTACGTAAAAAATACATTAATAATGAAATCATACATTCAAATTCAAAGTTACATTCGTAGTAAGTTAGGACAGTATGAGTAGTCACAGTGTGGCGCCTTAATATAAGTTTATTATTAGTATGTATTATATTAAGTATGTAACGAAGTACTAAGTAGGCTGTTACAACTATGTACTAGATCTATGTAGTATTGTACTACTAACTAATACTAATACCAGTCTAATAGTATAGTTAGTACTAATAGTACTATATTATGAATGTAATATAGAACACTCACTGTCAGTACACGTACCGTACAGTGTCGTACAGTCATTCACACTACCAAAATCTCCCCGTTTTTACAGTTCCACACATTATGATGGGGGGACAGGGGGGGGGGGGGGACGACGGGGTCAGATGGTGCTACGTCACATTTTTGCATTATATAAAAAAGCAATGTTAGAAAACGAATTTTATACGTTATTTTGCATTTTAGAAAACTGTTTTAATAAATTGCAATAGGAATTGATTAAAATACTCTATTTTGACAGAGTTCAGACAAGATTTTGGAAAAATATCGATGTTTTAAAAAAAATTCAACTGCAATTTTGAGGGGGGTCATAGGCTGAGGTGTGACGTCATTTTAGCGGGGGGGGTCTGGCTTTTGTGACGATGTGTGATGGGGTAGAGGTAAAAATGGTCAAAAAAAGCATGACGTCATTTATGGATGACCCCTTGAGTACAAACATTGACTCTAGATCTAATAATAGTAGCCTACTAGATTCAGTGGCGTAGCGAGGTCGGGTGTCACCCGGTGATGCACTTAATGGTGTCACCCCCCCCCCTTCAAACTTTCAATTGTACCCCCCTTCAAACTTTCGATTTGCACCCCCCCTCAAATTTTTCTCAATATATTAAGCTATATTTTGCCTTGGTGTCACCCCCCAAAATGGTGTCTCCCGGTGCTGTCCGCACCACCCCCCCCCCCCTCGCTACGCCTCTGACTAGATCTACTAACTAAATACTTACTTCTTAGGCCTAGAACTAGATCTACTCTACTTACTATCTAGATTAATAGATTTAATACTAGAAAATCTAAACTAGGACTAACTAAACTCCTAGTCCAAGTAGATTGGTCTAGTACTTCAAGTACTAGATGATCTAGTTTAGAGCCAAGAATTGAAGATCTAAGACTGGACTAGATTTACTAGAATCTATTCTATCACAACCGTTGACATCTTAAAATCACTATCTTACTTTATATGACATTATCATAATTCATAACATTATCATAACTTTTTTTATCATCAACTCTGTGTATAATAAGTTATGCAGATATATAAGTATAAGTTTCCAGTGTTAATATTAAGAATTTAAAATAATTTCTACCTTAGTAATACATGTAATACTGAAATGTATTATTCAATCTTTTTCTGCAGGGGTTGATTGATATATGCCAATAATTTTGAAAGGTGTGTTAAATCTAACCAGAAATATCTGAGCAAAGAAACAGTTATAACACAAGCAGTAAACATAGTGTTTCTCTCTCTGCTCTAGCTGATTAGTTCTATCATTGATCATGCCATTTAGCAGTGACACTCAGTGTATTGTGGATGATGTGGATGTTAAAGACTATTCAGCTGAAAGGAGTCCAATTGCTAAACTGTTTACTGGGAACCATGGTAACCTGATATCTACAGAAGCAAGTAAATATAATCTTTCAGTGGCAACTGATGAGTGTTCAACACAGCCTCATTGTGACACTGATACATTGTGTACCAATTCAGTGGCAACTGATGAGTGTTCAACACAGCCTCATTGTGACACTGATACATTGTGTACCAATTCAGTGGCAACTGATGAGTGTTCAACACAGCCTCATTGTGACACTGATACATTGTGTACCAATTCAGTGGCAACTGATGAGTGTTCAACACAGCCTCATTGTGACACTGATACATTGTGTACCAATTCAGTGGCAACTGATGAGTGTTCAACACAGCCTCATTATGACACTGATACATTGTGTACCAATTCAGTGGCAACTGATGAGTGTTCAACACAGCCTCATTGTGACACTGAAACATTGTGTACCAAGAGAAAAGTTTCTTCGGGCGACCCTTTTGACTTGTGTGATGACGAAGAGGAACCAAAAAAAAAATACAGACCAATTCAAAGAAAATGTAATACTCTTAGACAGGATGTTGATTCTATTGGTTCACTAGTGAAAGATTTAGATAGTGACACTTACACAGTGAAAAGTGAAGGTGGTGACACAGACACAGTGAAAAGTAATTATGGTGAAACGGACACAGTGAAAAGTGAAGATGGTGACACGGACACAGTGAAAAGTGAAGGTGGTGACACGGACACAGTGAAAAGTGAAGGTGGTGACACTGACAAAGTGCCAGTTTTCGAAGATGCCCCTACTGAAACATTGAAAGTAGCCAACACTGGACCAGCCAAAGATATTGGCAAAGTGTTAAGAGTGATCTACCTTCACAGTGATGAGCTATTAGATAAAACAAATCAATTGATTCGAATAGAAGGTCGAGCTGAGCTTGTCCACAGTCTTATTAGAATTTACGGGCTGTTAAACTACCTTCAAGTTTTCCCACCACGGACAGCAACAGAGAGTGAAATTCTGGGCTTTCACTGTCCAGAGTACATCAGCTGTCTACGTGGTGACAGCCTGTCCGACACTGAGTCAGGTGAAACAGAAGAATTTGGATTGTCCTATGACTGTCCTCACCAAAATGGAGTTTTTGAAACTGCCAGATTAATTTGTGGGGCTTCTATTGTAGCAGCGGAGAAGATCCTGGATGGTTCTGCTAATGTTGCTATAAACTGGTATGGGGGGTGGCATCATGCCAAGCGAGACAGTGCCTCAGGGTTTTGTTATATGAATGATATTGTGTTGTGTGTTCTAAAATTAAGGGAGAAGTTTGAGCGGATACTGTATGTTGATATTGATCTTCACCATGGAGATGGTGTAGAGGAAGCTTTCTTCACCACGTCTAAAGTGATGACAGTTTCCTTTCATAAACTGGCTCCAGGCTTCTTCCCTGGGTCAGGGGATGTTGACAGTGTTGGTAGTGGACGAGGCAAGTTTTATTCTATCAATGTCCCACTCATGGATGGGATCAAAGACTCAGAGTTTTTTACAATGGTTTACAAAGTGATGAACCAGGTGAGAGAAAAATTCACACCTGATGTCCTAGTTCTGCAGTGTGGGGCTGATGGGCTGGCTGAAGACCCTATGGCCTCGTTTAACTTAACCCACACAGGTATGGCCAGGTGTGTTAGCTACATGCTGTCCTGGAGGCTACCCACGGTTTTACTGGGGGGAGGAGGCTACAATTTCCCTGCTACAGCCAAGTGCTGGACTGTCCTGACGTCCGTGGCTGTGGGCAAAAAGCTGCCAGTGGACATCCCTGAACACCAGCACCTTCTGGCTTACGGCCCCAGCTATGACCTCAGCACTTGTGTGGGAAACAGGAGAGACTGCAATACCAAGCCATATCTGGCAAACCTGCTGGCCAAGATATCCAAACACCTCAGTAACATACCAGCAGCACACACAAGTTAGGCTTACCCATCATATTGTTATCACCCATCATTTTGTTATCACCCATCATATTGTTATCACCCATCATATTGTTATCACCCATCATATTGTTACCACCCATCATATTGTTATCACCCATCATATTGTTATCACCCATCATATTGTTATCACCCATCATATTGTTATCACCCATCATAATATTCCAGAGCTATACATTAAAATTCCCCCACTGTTATGATGGAACTGTATGAAAGATGTGGATGTAGAGGATGAAGTACTGTCAACTGTGTGTCTGTACACCTTGAATACAGTATTGGGTAAATTAAAAGCTTAGTTTATAAGGTTTTACCTGCCCGGTATTGTGTTGTGAGACACTGTCTAGTCCTGGTTTGTTGACATGTGTGTTGTTGTATGGGGGGAATGAGGGTAACAAGGGAAGCAACTGGTCGAGTGACAGCGGGTGTGTTGTGATGGATGTGTGTAATGGTGGATGTGGGTGTCAGCCAAGGGTTGTGATGGGGATAAGGAGCCGTGTTGTATTGATGGCATCACTGAGAAGTTGACATTAAACCCTTTTTGTGTCATCTTAATGACTTGTTTCTACTCCCTTTGTAATCTGTTAAATACCGCCATCACATTTTATATCATCCATTATATTCCAGCAGTTTTACCCCTCTTCACATCAGTCTGATACCACTAATGTGACATCACCCATACTATTTAAACACTACACAATCATGCCACATCATATTCTTACCACCCATACTATTTAAACACTACACAATCATGCCACATCATATTCTTACCACCCATACTATTTAATAAACACTACACAATCATGCCACATCATATTCTTACCACCCATACTATTTAATAAACACTACACAATCATGCCCCATCATATTCTTACCACCCATACTATTTAAACACTACACAATCATGCCCCATCATATTCTTACCACCCATACTATTTAATAAACACTACACAATCATGCCACATCATATTCTTACCACCCATACTATTTAATAAACACTACACAATCATGCCACATCATATTCTTACCACCCATACTATTTAAACACTACACAAACATGCCCCATTATATTCTTACCACCCATACTATTTAATAAACACTACACAATCATGCCACATCATATTCTTACCACCCATACTATTTAAACACTACACAATCATGCCACATCATATTCTTACCACCCATACTATTTAAACACTACACAATCATGCCACATCATATTCTTACCACCCATACTATTTAAACACTACACAATCATGCCCCATCATATTCTTACCACCCATACTATTTAATAAACACTACACAATCATGCCACATCATATTCTTACCACCCATACTATTTAATAAACACTACACAATCATGCCACATCATATTCTTACCACCCATACTATTTAAACACTACACAAACATGCCCCATCATATTCTTACCATCCATACTATTTAAACACTACACAAACATGCCACATCATATTCTTACCACCCATACTATTTAAACACTACACAATCATGCCACATCATATTCTTACCACCCATACTATTTAATAAACACTACACAATCATGCCACATCATATTCTTACCACCCATACTATTTAAACACTACACAAACATGCCCCATCATATTCTTACCACCCATACTATTTAATAAACACTACACAATCATGCCCCATCATATTCTTATCACCCATACTATTTAAACACTACACAATCATGCCCCATCATATTCTTACCACCCATACTATTTAATAAACACTACACAATCATGCCACATCATATTCTTACCACCCATACTATTTAAACACTACACAATCATGCCACATCATATTCTTACCACCCATACTATTTAATAAACACTACACAAACATGCCCCATCATATTCTTACCACCCATACTATTTAATAAACACTACACAATCATGCCCCATCATATTCTTACCACCCATACTATTTAAACACTACACAATCATGCCCCATCATATTCTTACCACCCATACTATTTAATAAACACTACACAAACACGCCACATCATATTCTTACCACCCATACTATTTAAACACTACACAAACATGCCCCATCATATTCTTACCACCCATACTATTTAATAAACACTACACAAACATGCCCCATCATATTCTTACCACCTATACTATTTAAACACTACACAATCATGCCACATCATATTCTTACCACCTATACTATTTAAACACTACACAAACATGCCCCATCATATTCTTACCACCTATACTATTTAAACACTACACAAACATGCCCCATCATATTCTTACCACCCATACTATTTAAACACTACACAAACATGCCCCATCATATTCTTACCACCTATACTATTTAAACACTACACAATCATGCCACATCATATTCTTACCACCCATACTATTTAAACACTACACAAACATGCCCCATTATATTCTTACCACCCATACTATTTAATAAACACTACACAAACATGCCACATCATATTCTTACCACCCATACTATTTAAACACTACACAAACATGCCCCATCATATTCTTATCACCCATACTATTTAATAAACACTACACAATCATGCCACATCATATTCTTACCACCCATACTATTTAATAAACACTACACAAACATGCCCCATCATATTCTTACCACCTATACTATTTAAACACTACACAATCATGCCACATCATATTCTTACCACCCATACTATTTAAACACTACACAAACATGCCCCATCATATTCTTACCACCCATACTATTTAAACACTACACAAACATGCCCCATCATATTCTTACCACCTATACTATTTAAACACTACACAATCATGCCACATCATATTCTTACCACCCATACTATTTAAACACTACACAAACATGCCCCATTATATTCTTACCACCCATACTATTTAATAAACACTACACAAACATGCCACATCATATTCTTACCACCCATACTATTTAAACACTACACAAACATGCCCCATCATATTCTTATCACCCATACTATTTAATAAACACTACACAATCATGCCACATCATATTCTTACCACCCATACTATTTAATAAACACTACACAATCATGCCACATAATATTCTTACCACCCATACTATTTAATAAACACTACACAAACATGCCCCATCATATTCTTACCACCCATACTATTTAAACACTACACAAACACGCCACATCATATTCTTACCACCCATACTATTTAAACACTACACAAACACGCCACATCATATTCTTACCACACATACTATTTAAACACTACACAAACATGCCACATCATATTCTTACCACCCATACTATTTAATAAACACTACACAAACATGCCCCATCATATTCTTACCACCTATACTATTTAAACACTACACAAACACGCCACATCATATTCTTACCACCCATACTATTTAAACACTACACAAACACGCCACATCATATTCTTACCACACATACTATTTAAACACTACACAAACATGCCACATCATATTCTTACCACCCATACTATTTAAACACTACACAAACACGCCACATCATATTCTTACCACCCATACTATTTAAACACTACACAAACATGCCACATCATATTCTTACCACCCATACTATTTAAACACTACACAAACACGCCACATCATATTCTTACCACCTATACTATTTAATAAACACTACACAAACATGCCACATCATATTCTTACCACCCATACTATTTAAACACTACACAAACATGCCACATCATATTCTTACCACCTATACTATTTAAACACTACACAAACATGCCCCATCATATTCTTACCACCCATACTATTTAAACACTACACAAACATGCCCCATTATATTCTTACCACCCATACTATTTAATAAACACTACACAAACATGCCACATCATATTCTTACCACCCATACTATTTAAACACTACACAAACATGCCACATCATATTCTTACCACCTATACTATTTAAACACTACACAAACATGCCCCATCATATTCTTACCACCTATACTATTTAAACACTACACAAACATGCCACATCATATTCTTACCACCCATACTATTTAAACACTACACAAACATGCCCCATCATATTCTTACCACCCATACTATTTAAACACTACACAATCATGCCACATCATATTCTTACCACCCATACTATTTAATAAACACTACACAATCATGCCACATCATATTCTTACCACCCATACTATTTAAACACTACACAAACATGCCCCATCATATTCTTACCACCTATACTATTTAATAAACACTACACAAACATGCCCCATCATATTCTTACCACCCATACTATTTAAACACTACACAAACATGCCCCATCATATTCTTACCACCTATACTATTTAATAAACACTACACAAACATGCCACATCATATTCTTACCACCCATACTATTTAAACACTACACAATCATGCCACATCATATTCTTACCACCCATACTATTTAAACACTACACAATCATGCCACATCATATTCTTACCACCTATACTATTTAATAAACACTACACAAACATGCCCCATCATATTCTTACCACCCATACTATTTAATAAACACTACACAAACATGCCCCATCATATTCTTACCACCCATACTATTTAAACACTACACAATCATGCCACATCATATTCTTACCACCTATACTATTTAAACACTACACAAACACGCCACATCATATTCTTACCACCCATACTATTTAAACACTACACAAACACGCCACATCATATTCTTACCACACATACTATTTAAACACTACACAAACATGCCACATCATATTCTTACCACCCATACTATTTAAACACTACACAAACACGCCACATCATATTCTTACCACCCATACTATTTAAACACTACACAATCATGCCACATCATATTCTTACCACCCATACTATTTAAACACTACACAAACACGCCACATCATATTCTTACCACCTATACTATTTAATAAACACTACACAAACATGCCACATCATATTCTTACCACCCATACTATTTAAACACTACACAAACATGCCCCATCATATTCTTACCACCTATACTATTTAATAAACACTACACAAACATGCCACATCATATTCTTACCACCCATACTATTTAATAAACACTACACAAACATGCCACATCATATTCTTACCACCTATACTATTCCAACCAGACCTGGTGAATAAACCTATTGAGTTAACTTGTTATCACACATTTTTTGACTGTATATGTAATGTTTGGTCAAGACTTTGATGTACAATAGTATCATTAAAAATTGCTTTTTTGTGTGTTCACTTGCATTTTTTTTTAATAATTTCATTTTCCTAAATAAAACTTAGGTAGATTCTAATTTGTAATATATTTGTTATAAATTAGCTATCTAAAAAAAAAAAAAACGAAACGTTCACCATGTTTATTTTCCGGTAACAGAATTTTTTCAGGTAAACAATCCAATTATTTCTCTACAATCATTTCCCTTTAAGTGTTGAATTATTTCCCCTGAAAACGTATTTCACTTTTAAAATACTAAAAAATAATAATTAAGAATTATAATTTCAGGCATTACTACAACTATCCTAATATTTCAACCCACCCCCTACCCAACATGAAATATTACCAGACCATAAGTCGACTGACAGCGCCTGAGACCACGGGGAGATCTCTAGCATTGTTAGAAGTGATCTTATCATAGAGCTCAACAAACCAGCTCGACCCCGCTAACCTGCTCGAGTCACACTGACAGGAGACAGAATATTGAACAATGTCCTGGCTTAACACTTAGCTACTGCCAGATGCAACGCTGCCGTCAAACGCCATTCCGCTGACAAATGCCGAGTTTATCGGTCGACCGGAGCTTGGCCAAGGGGCGAGGTAACAGATGTTAATTAATTATACGTGCCGGCAAGTTATTCCAAGTTTTTCTCTACACGACATTGCTAAACTTCAAAAAATTATTTTTCTTATGGTTGTGTTTAATTGGGGGGGGGGGGGAGTATATAAATTGTAGATCAATTTACTGATCGAGGTCTGAATTACTCTCTGACCACAACTCATTGAACAAAGTGACCAACGCAAACCTTTTCCAAAATCTGTTTATTTATTTCTACATCTCCTATATGGTCATTTTTAAGTTTGGTTCTCTGTAGTTCTGGTATGTCAGTTTGTGAAGGCTTTCTGTAGTTCTGGTATGTCAGTTTGTAAAGGCTTTCTGTAGTTCTGGTATGTCAGTTTGAAATGGCTTTCTGTAATTCTGTACATTCGCTGAAGGCACATCAAAAAGTTTTTGTTGAATAACTCCCAGCCGCATATCTCTGTGGAGAGAAAGTTTGAACAACTTGTACATCACACTGTGTACATCCCCTACACTGTGTACATCACACTGTGTACATCCCCTACACTGTGTACATCACACTGTGTACATCCCCTACACTGTGTACATCACACTGTGTACATCCCCTACACTGTGTACATCCCCTACACTGTGTACATCACACTGTGTAAATCCCCTACACTGTGTACATCACACTGTGTACATCCCCAACACTGTGTACATCCCGTACACTGTGTACATCACACTGTGTACATCCCCTACACTGTGTACATCGCACTATGTACATCCCTACACTGTACACCACACTGTGTACATCCCCTACACTGTGTACATCACACTGTGTACATCCCCTACACTGTGTACATCCCCTACACTGTGTACATCACACTGTGTACATCCCCTACACTGTGTACGTCCCCTACACTGTACGTCCCCTACACTGTGTACATCCCCTACACTGTGTACATCACACTGTGTACATCCCCTACACTGTGTACATCACACTGTGTACATCCCCTACACTGTGTACATCACACTGTGTACATCCCCTACACTGTGTACATCACACTGTGTACATTACACTGTGTACATCCCCTACACTGTGTACATCACACTGTATACATCCCCTACACTGTGTACATCCCCTACACTGTGTACATCACACCGTGTACATCCCCTACACTGTGTACATCCTCTACACTGTGTACATCACACTATGTACACCCCCTACACTGTGTATATCCCCTACACTGTGTACATCCTCTACACTGTGTACATTCCCTACACTGTGTACATCCCCTACACTGTGTACATCCCATACACTGTGTACACCCCCTACACTGTGTACATCCCCTACACTGTGTACATCCCCTACACTGTGTACATCCCCTACACTGTGTACATCCCCTACACTGTGTACATCCCCTACACTGTGTACATCCCCTACACTGTGTACATCCCCTACACTGTGTACATCCCCTACACTGTGTACATCCCCTACACTGTGTACATCACACTGTGTACATCCCCTACACTGTGTACATCCCCTACACTGTGTACATCACACTGTGTACATCCCCTACACTGTGTACATCCTCTACACTGTGTACATCACACTGTGTACACCCCCCACACTGTGTACACCCCCCACACTGTGTACATCCCCTACACTGTGTACATCCCCTACACTGTACATCACATTGTGTACATCACACTGTGTACATCCCCTACACTGTGTACACCCCCCACACTGTGTACATCCCCTACACTGTGTACATCACACTGTGTACATCCCCTACACTGTGTACATCACACTGTGTACATCCCCTACACTGTGTACATCCTCTACACTGTGTACATCCCCTTCACTGTGTACATCCCCTACACTGTGTACATCCCTACACTGTACACCACACTGTATACATCCCCTACACTGTGTACATCCCCTACACTGTGTACATCCCCTACACTGTGTACATCCCCTACACTGTGTACATCACACTGTGTACATCACACTGTGTACATCCCCTACACTGTGTACATCCCCTACACTTACATCCTCTACACTGTGTACATCCCCTACACTGTGTACATCCCCTACACTGTGTACATCCCCTACGCTGTGTACACCCCCCCCCCCCCCAACGAAATTGAATTTAAATATAAAAAATAAATATTATTACAAGTGTCCCCCCCCCCCCCCCCCTAAAATTTCAAATTTCAAGTTCCCCGCCGCCGCCTTAGAAAAAAGTCTGGAAGAAACACTGAGACACTAGTTACCCAAGGGAAGCAACTAGCCAAGAGTTTTCAGAAAATCGCATTGTTGACGTCGAAGTTTGTAGTCCACATTGACGCCATCTTTGTTAATGATGACGTAAGATTCTGTCTCTGTGTTGTACTCTGGCCAGATTGTCTCTTCGGCTTTATTTGGATTTCTGAGAAGAAAACAGAGAGAGAGGAAGTGAACAGTTGGTCATGAAATTAACGGCAATGGTACCTGACATTGTCGGTGTTGTAGTTATTTAACTGTGTAGTTATTTAACTGTGTAGTTATTTAACTGTTGTAGATATTTAACTGTTGTAGATATTCAAGTGTTGTAGATATTTAACTGTTGTAGATATTTAACTGTTGTAGATATTTAACTGTTGTAGTTATTTAACTGTTGTAGTTATTTAAATATTGTAGTTATACTGTTATATAGGGGGAATCTATGGGCTCGAAATCAGTTTATTCCCTGTTGGCTATGAGCTTCAGGACAAATTGACTTCAAGGCTATTGGCCTTCATGTCTAACGGCATCCCCTAATGGTATCTATGGCCAGCAGTTCCCAACTTTTCTTTCATCACCCCAGTTCCCAGGCCAATAATGTGGCTATGAGCTTTATAATTCCCACGCAATTGTGTGTATGGAGAGGGGGGGGGGGTTGGCTTTGTTCTCTCTATGTATCGGCATCAGAAGGTAAAAACGACAGTGACGCCACCTACCCCGCGAGTCAGAAGGTAAAAACGACAGTGACGCCACCTACCCCGCGAGTCAGAAGGTAAAAACGACAGTGACGCTACCTACCCTGCGAGTCAGAAGGTAAAAACGACAGTGACGCCACCTACCCCGTTCTGGCAAAGTTGGTCAGGAGTCCCATGACGTTGAGGCTGAGGTTCTTCTCGTCGTTGGTGTAGCTCGAGTTGAGGGCCAGGGGCAGCCCGAACACGACCTCGATCTCGTAGCCGTGGGCCACCCCGAGCCACTCCGGCCAGGCGTTGGTGCTGATCCGGTGCTCGAAGCTGTACATGTAGACACGGCCGCCCAATCCGGCGTAGGCCTCGGCGAAATCCACGACGGGACACTTGAATAACTTGTCCCCAGTGGCGCTGTCAATGACCTTGATGCGGTCCTCGGCTGAGCTGACCGGATACAGCTGGCTGAACGCGGCTGACGAGCTGACGTTTGGGGTGAAGATGTAGCTGATGACCTCATCGTACTGACTCTCGCTCAGGCTGCCAGTGCCGTTGAGAGGGAAGTAACTGAGGAAAGCATACACGACGAAATAAAGTCCTTCATTTTTGTTGACGCCCACCAGGACGCTGGTATTTTTTATCTCGCCCCGACTGATCAGGTTTTCCGGCGTGTCGGGTAAAAAGTGTTTATCGACAACTGGCGGGAAAGGTAAATCGAAGAAATCGACGATGCTGTTGTTAAGGTACTGGTTGTTGGTTAAGTCTGCGGGATTGGCTTGTCTAAGACACGTGATCCTGGCCTCTGGGGTGTTGTTCGGGCAGTTGACGATGTCGGCCAGCTGGTTGGCCCTGTCGACAGCCCGGCTGGTGTCTATCGTGCCCCAGTCGGCCAGGGGCGAGGCACTCTCCATGATGGCGTACTTGAAGAGGTCACGTGAGAGGGGAGACAACAAGTGAAAGCCGACACTAACGGCGCCGGCACTTTCTCCGAAGATCGTAATGGCGTCGGCACTGCCGCCCAGATTCTCAGCATTGTCCTTGACCCAGTTCAAGGCCATGACCTGATCCAGCAGTCCCACGTTCCCAGGGGCGTCCTCCGTGCCCAGGTAGATAAACCCCAGGGGTCCCAGCCTGTACGCGATCGACACAACGACCACGTCATTTTTTATCGCCAGCTCCGTGCCATCATACACGTCTAGAGTCGTGGTGCCGGTCGTGAAGGAGCCGCCGAAGATCCACACCATGATGGGCTTCTTCTTGGAGCTGTCGCAGTTGGCCGTACACGCCGGTCTCCAGACGTTCAGGTACAGGCAGTCCTCGCTCATGGGGGTGTTGGGGTTCCACATGTCCGCCCCGGAGAAGTTGCCGAACACCTCGTCCACCATCTGCCAGCAGGAGTTGGGCTTGACCGAGCAGTTTCTAGGACATTCCCACTGGTCCGACGCTACAGGCGCCTTGAACCGCAGCTCCCCTAGCGGCGGTTTGGCAAAGGGAATCCCGTAGAACACGTCCACGGTCTGCTCGCAGATAACTTTTCTGATGCCAATGACGTCACCGTTTGTCGTGGCCATGGTAACGGGTGAGGTTCTGACGTGGGTGGATGATACGGATACAAGTAGTGTCACCATGACAACCAGAAGTTTCTCGAGCGCCTGCATCGTGCTGTTGGGGTCAAATAAGTGAAAGATTATCAGTTTGTATTCGTATCTCGCATGTGTAGGTTTGTAATGAATCAGTTTGTATTCGTATCTCGCATGTGTAGGTTTGTAATGAATGAACTGGTCAGCTAGACGTGTACCCTGTTTGAGTCGCATCATTTGACAATCTCATTCGTCAAGGATCTACACGCAGCATTTGCACTGACATTCCTACCACCCCCCACCCCCGCCCCACCCCAACCCACAAAGAAATTAAAAAAACAATATTTAATTCAAATAAAAAAGAATACTAACAATAATTCCCCCCCCCCCCCACCCGCAAATTTGAACTCCCATCAACAGTAGCTAAATGTCTGGAAGAAACCGGCGCTATTTGGAACGTTAACAAAACCCTAACAACATGGCTGGCGTCGTGCTACAAACATACGTCGTTAGACTCAGGGCGGCCGCTCACTGCCCCCCCCCCCAACATACGTCGTTAGACTCAGGGCGGCCGCTCACTGCCCCCCCCCCCCAACATACGTCGTTAGACTCAGGGCAGTCGCTCACTGCCCCCCCTCCCCCCCCAAATATGCCATTACTCAGGGCGGCAGATGAAAGGGTCTACACCATGTCAGTGACGTCTTTGTGTCGAGCTCTATCTGGCAGCAAATATTGACCAAGTTTGATTGGACGCATCTTCTTAGCTTTGTGACATCAACTGACATCTTAGCTTTGTGACATCAACTGACATCTTAGCTTTGTGACATCAACTGACATCTTACCTTTGTTATATCAACTGACATCTTACCTTTGTTATATCAACTGCCATCTTAGCTTTGTGACATCAACTGACATCTTACCTTTGTTATATCAACTGACATCTTACCTTTTTTATATCAACTGACATCTTAGCTTTGTGACATCATTTGACATCTTAGCTTTGTGACATCATTTGACATCTTAGCTTTGTTATATCAACTGACATCTTAGCTTTTTGACATCAACTGACATCTTAGCTTTGTAACATCAACTGACATCTTAGTTTTGTGACATTAACTGACATCTTAGCTTTGTGACATCAACTGACATCTTAGCTTTTTGACATCAACTGACATCTTAGCTTTGTAACATCAACTGCCATATTAGTTTTATAACATCAACTGACATCTTAGTTTTATAACATCAACTGACATCTTAGCTTTGTAACATCAACTGACATCATAGCTTTGTGACATCAACTGACATCTTAGCTCTGCGAGTAGTATAAACGTAAATACTTTCATACTAACCTTTTTAAACTTTGACTCGTCCAACAGCTAGATGTAGAGATTCTGACCAGCTTGGCTTACAATCACAACATTAGAGCACCAGCTACTTCCCCGAGTTAATTAGACGAACCCTAAAAACAACAGAAAATGTTATTGGTCCTGCCCGCCCTCTCCATATATAGGCCAGAAAGATGTTACCATCCATTGGTCGACCTACCCGCCTCAAATCTCTCAAATGTCATGAGTAGGTGACATTTCAAAGCGAGCATCATTTAGAAAGCCAGGCTCCCGCAGTTTTACAGCCCTCTAACCGGACGTGTCGTGGTGGTCAGCGGGCCGTCCACTTGGCCGCCCCATCGCGTTTAATGACGCCACTTAGTGGTCAAAAGGTCAGCGACGTCTGCTTGAAATAAAACACAAGATGCCGGCTATTGGAGTCACTGCAGTCATTTAGTTCTGGTTTAGGTGACTCGTGACCTCTGACGCCACACACCCAGTTTAGTTCTGGTTTAGGTGACTCGTGACCTCTGACGTCACACACCCAGTTTAGTTCTGGTTTAGGTGACTCGTGACCTCTGACGTCACACACCCAGCGGTCCACTCAGCTTGACACAGAGGCCGCAGCAGACGACAGATGGTCACGTGGGTGGCATGGATGATGACACGCGAATTCAAATTTTGTATCTTTTTTACAGACCGACTTTTCCAAATCTTTTACACAGACCGACTTTTCCAAATCTTTTACACAGACCGACTTTACACAGGACAACCGATGTATGTAGGACATACATCGGTTATTGCTCACGAAGCATACAAAAAATACAAGTCAGAGTAAACATAATCTTGGTTCGTTCAATTAGATTTGATCTTTCCAAAACACTGATGTACTTGTCGTTTTAAATTACCGCCAGACGACAAAACATGGCTCATGTCTTGGCTGTAACTCTATCAAACTCAAGTTGAGCTGGTGGGTGTGATCTCCCTTGTTTTAGTAGACTATGCTGTGTGTGCTAATTACGTCCCTTGTTATGGTATGACTCTTATTTAAATTACGGGTTTGGGGAAGGGATAGGATTTGTTGGGGAAGGGAGAGGATTTGTTGGGGTAGGGGAAATGTCTTTTTGGGAAGCGCCAAGATTTGTTGGGGGAAAGGACAAGATTTAGTTGTGTTTTAAGACAGACATTAAAATAAGATTTGACGGGGAAGCGCCAAATGATTAAGGCAAACATAGGCTTAAAGTCAACAAGCTTTGAAACCGCTTTTTCAGTTTCTAGTTTAAATCTGCTCAAGTTGCAATTTTGTATTTAAAAATGTGAAGCGATGGTTACACATCTGTAGTTGCCAACCAAGATTTTTCGATGTTTTATTTCGCTGTACCCCAGTCGGTCGGTTCTTGCACCAGCACGTCAGTGCAGAGTTTCTTCCAGGCATCTCTTCGCGGGTGCTCTGCCCCCCCCCCCCCCGAAGAAAGACTAACGCCCCCCCCCCCCCCCGCCCCCGAACGAGATGGAAATTATATAGTAAACATACACTTTTACTAGTGTCCGCCCCCCCCCCCCGAAAATATCAAGTGCCCCCCCCCCCCCGGAGAAAAAAGTCTGGAAGAAACACTGCGTCGGTGACCGGACCCAGTCAGTCGGTGCTTACGTCGGTGACCGGAGACAGATCACCACCGCCGTGTATCTAACCACTCACCACTTGCTTCCATTCATAAAATGTCGCAGCGTGCCGTAATTGGTGATCCCCAACAATTCACTCAATAAAAATAGGTGACCGGAAGCCAATTATTCGGTACACGTGGTGTCAAAGGTCAGCTGATCGTGTAGAGGTTATTTATGGCCAGCAGGTGTGCGGGAGTGCACCACGTGCAGCCAAGTACTCACGACAGCGTTATTTATGAGATTCTGTGACCCCCGATACAAATGTGTCGCCAGGAATTCATACATCTATTTATAGTTTTTATGGTGACAGGAAGTCATACATCTATTTATAGTCTTTTTCGTAATGCTGCTGACATTTTAGGCTTTTTATAAAGTTAAATAAAAATATGCGACCGTCTGGATTGAGGTTTGGATAAAGATGTAGAAGCCGCGACCAAACCTAAATACTGCTGTTATATTTAACCCTGTTCTAATCCGAAAATAATCCAACCTAGCCTTAAACCCAATTTTTATCCAAGCATAAGTTTCTACTTTGGAATAAATAACTTCAACTTTGACCGATATTCACTTCTTGTGTTTAATGCCGAGGTATTGAAACAGATGAACTCTACTTTATCTGCCCCATGTGTCATGGGCTCCAACGGGAAAAGATGATAAAAAAAAAATAAAAAAATAAACTAATTTGCTTTCTTTATTAATAAAAGCATTGGTCGCAAAAATGTCAAGATTTCATGAACATCGACACTCATGCAAAACATCAATCATCATGAAAAACCAGTTCACTGTCGTCGGCTAGCTGATAGAGGAATCGCTAATATTTAGTCTTGTATTACCCCCAACCCTTCCACCCCCTTTTTGAAATTAGTAATCTTTTTATAAAATTGTAATGTCTATTCTAATGTCTAATTAGATTAAAATGAGTATAAATTGTATGTCAACGAATGGATTTCGCATTTAATTTTCAACTCAACAACACAGAAAATCGTTTCCATTTATCATGGACCGATGTGATAATTATGTGGTCAGTTTGAACCGTAGACCGATGTGATAATGATGTGGTCAGTTTGACCTGATGAATCATAGTGGCCTAGCGGTAGAGAGCTAGACTGCTAACTGTAGAACTGTCCTTTATAGTCTGACCGATGTAATAATGATGTGGTCAGTTTGACCTGTGGACCGATGTGATAATGATGTGGCCAGTTTGACCTGAATGCACCACCCTGATTATTTTGTGGCTAACAAAAACATTCCAAAACAAGGTAATTAAAAAGTCTAGTGACAATTTTAGCGCAATTTCCTTATGTTATCTAAAAATAGCTCTGTCGTAGCGTAAATCAAGAGCAGGGTTAGTAAAACAATTGGTTAGTTATTAAAACGTTTTTTATTAATTTTTTTTCAGTATTTTACATGTTTTATTTACAATAGAGTTACATGACTAAAAACCATTGCGCGCCTAGCTACTGAACGTGATGAAGCAGCCATTGAACGTGATGGCGCAGCTATTGAACGTTATGACGCGTGTGGTGTGGTTGGATAAAAATGCCTACTAATTCTGTCCAAATTTTAATTAATTCAAAAAATTTTTTTGTGACCGAACGAAAGGATATTTTTGAAAACTTTCTTCGGCAATATTGTTCTAAATTATGGCAGGAATCGATTGGTACATGTTTCAAGTCGCTAAGTGGTCTGGTTGCCGAGATATGGGCAAAAAACTGCATTTTTTCGAGGTTTTTTGGCTTTTCCGGGAAATCCATGAAAGAAACCCGGATTTTTTTTGGCCTATGTTCATCCTCGTAACTTGCTTAACATAATTGCTTTGGAACTAGTCCTCGATATTGCTTCGTTGAGGAGGAGATACGACTTAAAGCTGCGGACACACATCCATTCATACATCCAGAAATGACGGGTTAATAAACGCAATTCTACAGGATGGAAATTGCGCTAAAAAACTTGACAGTTGACACTTAAGTTTAACTAAGGAAAAAGTAATTGAGACGAACCAAAATGGTTTGTTCAACCCTATTACCTCCCTTTGACCATTTTGCTTAAAGTATCGAAAGGTCAACGCAAGAAGTAACCCCCCCCCCCTCTCACCTACAAATACCCACAAACAGAATTTCAATAGACATTTGTTTATTTGTAGAGCAAAGGGCTGCAACTCCAGTGAAACTTTGCAAAACTAAAATCAGCGACAGTGTAGTGTAATATGAAGATCTCTGTACAACCTGTCCAACATAACAAACGAATACACCACCTCCTTCCCACTCCGTGTTCTAAAATATGTGCACAATTCCTTAACCACGATGCTACATTGTTTCCACTACTCTGCCCACGAAACATATATTATACTCAGTAACACTGACCCCAACCCACCCCTAAAAACAGGAAATACACCAAATCAAAATTATACCAGAGCCCTAACCCCCACCCCCAGCCTAAACCCAGGAAATACACTAAATCAACATTCTAACAGAGACCGAACCCCCACCCTCCCTAAACCTAGGAAATAGGCCTACACCGGATCAAATTTCTACCAGAAGCTAATGCTAGATAATATCTATGTATCCCAAACCTACATCTGTTGTTCACAAGGCGTTTAACTATCTAAGATGGCACGGCGTATTTAAATCACTTTGCCTCTACGGACGGCAATGTTGATTTTTTGAGTGAGAGGGTGGGGGGGGGGGGGGGGGGGGGGGCGGGCTACCTCTTGAGGGTGGGTGGGGGGGGGGGGGCTACCTCTTGAATGTAGATCCTTGTATGTTACGAAATACAGGTGAGACATAGGTGACATCACTGTATGAGACATACCTCATATCTTTCTTTTAATCTGTTGATATTGTAGTTAGCCCAGTCTTACATCTTACAGGGGCTACTGACAGGCACTGATGTCAGTGCTTACATCTTACAGGGCCTACTGATATATACTGACATACGCATACAGGGACTAGCCCGATACTGATTTAGAACTCATGTAAAGCTGTGTCAACAGTTTTTATATAAGTGACCTTGGTGAGTTGACATGTGACCTTGGTGAGTTGACATGTGACCTTGGTGAGTTGAGATGTGACCTTGGTGAGTTGACACGTGACCTTGTTTAGTTGACATGGAGCTGACATGCTATATTTACCCTGGCCACAGAAAGACGCTTTAGATCGCACAGGTAGACTACCCGGACGTACAAGGATGAAAATATTTTATTATTTATTTTATTGGGCCAAAAAACGGGAGATCTGTTTGTACTCCAGTGACCTGTAATTATTTTAAAAGATTAGATTTTTTCGAGTGGATTCAAACACTTTTTTTTATGAAAGTTTATTACTTTTGAGTAAAAACTTAGTTTTCAAAATGAGCGCTATATCAATAATTGAAACATCCAGGAACATAGTTACTGTGGCCTCGTGACTTTTGTTTACCTTTGAATCTAGTTCCGGTTCATCGTGTCGCAGCAAGTTTGTACAAACTTTATCCTGCTATTCGCATTTCAATTGCTTTATACTTTATTATGTCATTCTGCCAGCACTCCCTTAAGTAAATTAAGTTTCAACTTAAGATCTACATCTGCTCCTGCTTTTAGTAGAAAAACAAGTCTATCTATCTGTCTATCTGCCTATCTGTCTGTCTGTCTATCAGTCTATCTCTCTGTCTATCCGTCTCTCTGTTTATCTGTCTGTCTATCTGTCTATCTATCTATCCGTCTCTCTGTCGGTAAGTCGGTTGGTCGACCTGTCGATCGGTCGGTCGGCCTGTCTGTCGGTCTGTCTCGTCGGTCATGTATGTCAATATGTCTACCATTTCTGCCTGTTACAAATCTAGTAACCCACCTATGACTTCTTTCATACAGAAATATTGTCTTCAGACTAATTCTTATCCGATGGCTGTGCAAGAATATCTCATTTTCAAACTTAATTAAAATTGATTAAAAGATTACTATATTCATTAACCTTCGGACCACTAAGGAGAGGTAAATATCGTCTAGAAGTCTCTCTTAACCTTGAGTACCGTTACAGCTAGGTTGATGAAATTTCATATATGAGTATAATATCAAATTTGTAGTTCTGTATCAACTTTTCAGCCATTTCCGGTAACCGGAAGTGGAACTTATTCTACTATAACTTGAGTACTATTTCAGATAGAGAAATTCAATTTCACATGTAATTAAAAGATCTAATTCTCTGCCTTCTGTTAAATTTTGAGTAATTTCAATTGACAGGAAGTAGTAATTTACGCTATTTTCGATTTCTCAAAAAAACGCATGTGATTTTATAAAATACAAATAATATTCCGCACTATTATACATATATTGTTTGGCATTCACTTGGTGTCCAATTCTTTTTTCTGCGAGATTCTATTCTATTTTTTAAAGTTTTATCAAAAATGGATTAAAAATCATGTCTATATCCCGAGTTGCCATCCCCCGTAATGTTATATAAAAATATTCGAGAAAGTTTAGTGTAGATTATTCACGGTTTATTTTCTGCTGTGAATGTTTTACAACACAGACTAGCGTCATTTATAGTGTAGTGGAGATACAGTGAAAACCACATCTTGCCAGCACAAAAACATGGCAACTGGTGGTTAATGGAAGATATTTAATTTATCGATACTTAGACGGACGCGATAACAATAAAGCGAAACGTACAATTGAAATAGTCCTCAGAACATCATTGAGTCCAACCAAGCTGTTTTTGGTACCTGAACTCTACTTCACCTGCCTTGTAGAATAGCTGTCCTGACGCAAACAGACAACTAACGCGAGTCTGTAGAATAGCTGTCCTGACGCAAACAGACAACTAACGCGAGTCTGTAGAATAGCTGTCCTGACGCAAACAGACAACTAACGCGAGTCTGTAGAATAGCTGTCCTGACGCAAACAGACAACTAACGCGAGTCTGTAGAATAGCTGTCCTGACGCAAACAGACAACTAACGCGAGTCTGTAGAATAGCTGTCCTGACGCAAACAGACAACTAATGCGAGTCTGTAGAATAGATGTCCTGACGCAAACATAGCTAGCTGAGACCGACGCATTAAAAAGATAACATTCAAGTACAGACAGTCACCGATATGGCCTTCACCTAGCTCAGAACTTCTCGGTGAAGGTTCAGTTATCTGGGGGGGGGGGGGGGGGGGGGGGGGTCCGGTTATCTCCGAAAGGATTCGGTTAACTCCGGGAACGATCGTTTATCCTCGGTAAGGTCCGGTTAACTCCGAGAAGGTCCGGCTCATTCCCCCGTTTGCACGACCAAATTTTTCTTGCTGTTCACCTGTGATCCAGTACTGAACCTACCTCATCTGTTATCTCTTACTGTCCAGTACTGAACCTACCTCAGCCGTTATCTCTTACTGTCCAGTACTGAACCTACCTCAGCCGTTATCTCTTACTGTCCAGTACTCAACCTACCTCAGCCGTTATCTCTTACTGTCCAGTACTGAACCTACCTCAGCCTTTACTGTCCAGTACTAAACCTACCTCAGCCGTTATCTCTTACTGTCCAGTACTGAACCTACCTCAGCCTTTACTGTCCAGTACTAAACCTACCCCAGCCGTTACTGTCCAGTACTGAACCTACCTCAGCCGTTACTGTCCAGTACTGAACCTACCTCAGCCGTTACTGTCCAGTACTGAACCTACCTCAGCCGTTATCTCTTTGGGTGTCATGCTATGGCCTGTAGCGAAGATTGCCCCAATACCAAACTACGGCTATGTCAGTGATTAAAGGGGAAGTTAGTATCGATCCTTTAGAAAGACATTTGTGTGTGTGTGTGGGGGGGGGGGGGTTATGTAGTATGGAGATTAGACTGCAGTCATTAGAAATGTCAGCTAGTTTAAACATTTATAAATTTACATTACGACCTATAATTTTTTAGCTGAAGGAATGAACATTTAGAGGACAAAAGCAGATGTCTCGAATAATGTAACAAAACAAAGGCGAGTAACATTGTCATGTTACACAGAGAGTTAGATAAGAATGTCGCATATATATATATATATATATATATATATATATATATATATATATATATATATATATATATATATATATATATATATATACAAGACACGTGTCTTAAGCAAGAAACCAGTAGCGGCAGATTTTAAAACATCGAATAAAGTAAACAAAATTTGATATAAATTGAGTCTGGGCAAACACTCCACATATCACAGCATATTTAAACAACTCCATCTCTGTCGATATAAGATCCCATTTTTGCTGGTCTCAGTGGTATCTAGATACAGTAACCAAACGAGACTTATGCAAACGAAACTTGCAGAAAGTGAACAAAATATTTGCCCAGAAGTCCTCCCATCCTGTCACGGTCTGGTAGGTGAAGCAGTGTTTACCAAGGTCGATCGGCAAGTATAGAACGTCAGGTTTAAAATTACCATACGGAATTCCAAGAAAAAAATACGAATGTAAATATAAAGCGCTTCAGACTTGCAAACAGACGGACATGCACACAGAACTAGCCCTACAAATCTCAAAGTGGCTGTTAATATTGCAGCCCATTGTAAACTTGGTATTAAAAACACAGTTGTTACGTCATTTGTAAACTTGGCATTAAAAAAACTTGTTGTTACACTGTAATCCCGTTTGTGGGTGTAAAATTGTCACTGGTAAACAATTGTTGACTTGTCATCTACACCTGTGACAGGTAAACAATTGTTGACTTGTTATATACACCTGTGACAGGTAAACAATTATTGACCTGATGCCGAGAACTGAGCGGACAGGTAAACTTCTATCAAACCAGAAATCTATAACTGTCTTTACAACTCTTATGTTGACTTAAGTGTAGACAAAAAAATAATTTACAGTTGTCTGCCCCTAAATGACACAGCTATTAAAACCATAGCTGTTGTTATCTCCCTTGTCACATGGCAACAAATCTTTGTTCCGTTATCTCGACCAGTCTTAACTCTATTCTGTATTTTTGTTAAACCTGGCCCTTTTAAATTACGTTTTTAATGTTGGAACTCCCTTACCCTCCCCCCCCCCCCCCCCACCCCCCGTGTCCTGACCATCCTCTTCGATCCCCTTATCCGTCACTTGAGGTGTTTTTAAGACGTGCCAAGGCCGATCTTCCACGAATTATCTCGCGAGTTTCCAAAGTTTGTCCAGTTCCGTCAACACTCCGCCAGCAGTTTAAAATCTAGCGTACATCATACCTACTCCTTTATTTACCTGTGGGCCCGCATAGCCCGACAGCAGGCCTGACGAGCGCATTAGTTGGTACAGTGTGTTTGTCTGTGATATTTTATTCAAACTGCGGGAGACCACGACACGGTAAGAAGAAAAATTGTTTTGGAATAATTTTCTAAATATTCACTTTTTAAATTGATTTAAAAACCATTGTTTGTGCCTTTTTACTTATGTTAAAAACTTAATTTGCAACATTATTCATAAAACACATTAAACAAACACATATTTTGTATAACCAACACATGTAAAATTTATCAGTCCAGTAAGATGAACAGAAGACTTCCATTTAAGACATCTTTTTGTTTAGTTACAATTTAGACTAAACATGACCGCATTGTTTCGGTGTTTAGACAATCCTTTTATAATACATGACGGGAAAGGGAGACAATGCTGGCTATTAATTAACTCTAATTTATCGTGTCATGTTTCGTTTTTTACTTGTTGCACATTTAATTAGTTTCTTAGTTTTATTCTACCGTCAACTGCATTAGCTTGTGAGATGAAGGCCCTCCACCAACTGTCGTGAAATAGACTCCCCCCCCCCCTCAATATTAGGTCAACTAACACTAACTGTCGTGAAATAGACCCCCCCCCCCCCCACCACCAATCTTAGGTCAACTAACACTACTAACAGTGAGCATTGAACTTTGAGCACCGTCAAGCAATTACACGGTGTGTGCACACGAGGGACTAATTACACGTCACCAAAGGCAAATGTTAATTACATTCATCAAATACAGGTCGTGACATCAGTCATCTAAAACATGTCGTGACATTAATCAGACACCTAAAACATGTCATGACATCAGACACTTAAAACATGTCATGACATCAGTCATCTAAGACTTGTCATGACATTGATCACTCGCTCATGTAAAAAAAAGACCTAATTAAATAGTCAGAGATCTTGTAATGAGAGCTGTGAATTAGATAAGAGCTGGAGCAGCTGGTTAGATCAAAGAGTCTTCAACAACAAGATAACAGAGCTGGAGCAACAACAAGACAATCGTCCACAGCTGCTGGAGTAGGCTGGTCTTCGTGGTACACGGTAGAGATAAGAGAAGTGTGGTTTTGTTAGAGGGGGGGGGGGGGTGTTCTGGGGGGGGGGGGTCTGGGGGGGTCTGGTTATGTTGGAGGGGGGGGGGGGGTAATTTCTGGTTATGTTGGGAGGTATTGTCTGGTTATGTTAGAGAGGAGTTGTATTGTCTGGTTATCTCACAGAAATTGTATCGGTCCAGTGAGTCCTACATCAGTCCAGTGCTCTACCCTCCATATCCCCTCCCCATGGTGCATGGACCACTTGAACTCTGACCTTGCATATTTTAAAACAACACACCCACTGAGGCAGCAGCACACCAAAGTACAGCAACAACAGATGGCAAATTATTTATGTTTTCCAATCATCGATCCAGCCATTGTCATGTCAAATTAGAGTCGCACCAGGTCTAAATGTGAACACGTCCTACATTCAGCCTCGCCATAGATTTGTTGAGACTGGTCGTGTGGAGATGAAATAAGCAAACTGCTTGCCATTGTTGATGTCGTTGACCAAACCTAGCACTTGTAGATGGACCTTGCTCAGGTGTGGGTCGCAAAGATTTAAATTTTAAAGCACTCCATCTTACACAGTTTACAATTAACATTGGACCCTCTGCTAGGTCAGGAACAGTTAAGAAAGCCTGGGAGAAAGAAGAGATAACAAAGAAGTGGGAGCAATCCACCTGGGCCAAGAAACTAGCTACAGATACAGATACAGCTCAAATGAGAGCTCAACTGTCGTCATCGCCTAATCAACATACAATACGGTCAACATACAAAATAGTCAATATACAATACGGTCAACATACAATATGGTCAAAAACATACAATATGGTCAACATACAATATGGTCAACATACAATATGGTCAAAAAAATACAATATGGGCAATTGAGGAAAGCAGAACACAAAGCCCCAGCCAAGCCCAAGAGGCTTAAAAAGTAGAAGACTAGCAAATCATTATCTAAATTATAACTGACAATCGCATTAAATTTAATTTTAAAAAGTCGGCCCATTGAGGGGCATCAACAGCTAAATACCACATTCCCAGAAGCGCCTCTGCAAACAATGAATTAGGTTCACCAAATCATGACTTGTGCCAACAAGCTAACACTTCACGGGTCAAAGGTTAATTCACCAGACAATACCATTATCACATTCACACGGTTTTTGACCGGGTTACGTTTAGGCTTAGCGGCTAAACTAAGTGTCAGTCGTGTTCCAGCTATATGTTCACTTGAGAAATGTCCAAATTTGATGTTCAACAAGAAAATGTTCGCAGTAAATTAGAAGTAAATAATGGATTGGCTAAAACAAAGTTGATTTAAATAACCTCAAGCAGTGATGATTCGTTCACATTAGGCAGGTGATGGAAGAATTTGAAACTTGTCTCATATAGTGGAAGTTGTCACACATAGTGAAACTTGACTCATATAGGGCTAGAATGTCCTACCCACTCTCAGTATCAACCTGATTCTTTCTATTGTATTTTATGGAGCATAGACTTAGTCCTTCTTGACCGCACAGATGATCGTTAATTCTTGACCGCACAGAGGATCTTTAGTTCTTGACCGCACAGAGGATCGTTAATTCTTGACCGCACAGAGGATCTTTAGTTCTTGACCGCACAGAGGATCTTTAGTTCTTGACCGCACAGAGGATCTTTAGTTCTTGACCGCACAGAGGATCTTTAGTTCTTGACCGCACAGAGGATCTTTAGTTCTTGACCGCACAGAGGATCTTTATGTAAGGGGTGACTGGATGGGGTTGGGAAATACTGTCACAACCCTTTGTGACATTTGTCCCTCTACTGACCACAGGATTTGGTTACCTAATCCACCAAATGTGACATTTGTCCCTCTACTGACCACAGGATTTGGTTACCTAATCCACCAAATGTGACATTTGTCCCTCTACTGACCACAGGCTTTGGTTACCTAATCCACCAAATGTGACATTTGTCCCTCTACTGACCACAGGATTTGGTTACCTAATCCACCAAATGTGACATTTGTCCCTCTACTGACCACAGGCTTTGCGTTACCTAATCCACCAAATGTGACATTTGTCCCTCTACTGACCACAGGCTTTACGTTACCTAATCCACCAAATGTGACATTTGTCCCTCTACTGACAAAGGCTTAGGTTACCTAATCCACCAAATGTGACATATGTCCCTATACTGACCACAGGCTTTGCGTTACCTAATCCATCAAATGTGACATTTGTCCCTCTACTGACCACAGGCTTTGCGTTACCTAATCCACCAAATGTGACATTTGGTCCTCTACTGACCACAGGCTTTGCGTTACCTAATCCACCAAATGTGACATTTGTCCCTCTACTGACCACAGGCTTTGGTTACCTAATCCACCAAATGTGACATTTGTCCCTCTACTGACCACAGGCTTTGCGTTACTTAATCCACCAAAATTGACTGACGTAAAGCAGACGATTGCGGTTCCACGTCTGGAAGTAGCAAAAGAAAGCGTGGAGCCAGTATTCGAACCCACGCCCGCTGACGTCTGTTATCATTCGATTGGTTGAATCTATGGACACTCAAACCTTATCTGGTCTTCCGCGTCGGTCACGTGGTCGTTAGATCTATATTTAGCTTATCCAAGCGGTTACCTGTGATTAGAAGAAACGGATCTAGAAAACCAACCCAAAGATCTACAGGTAACCTGACCATATATCAGCCTACACCCTGTTTTGAAGTAAAGCGACTGTGGGGTTGGTGGGGATGGGGGGGGGGGGGGGTTAAAGGTGAAGGCCGTGACGTCAAGATTATTACACTGTACACGTTAAAAAATTTACCTGTTGTTTACAGCCTTTACAATAGCTTTTACACACCATGAATGTAAACAGCATGAATGTAAACATCATGAATGTACACACCATGAATGTACACACCATGAATGTAAACACAATGAATGTAAACACCATGAATGTAAACAGCATGGGGTGTGTTTAATGCATTGTCGATGATGAGATATGTGTCACATAAGAAAAACTCTATTTTAGAATCTTTAATGACAGTAAAAAAAATTAACTACTCGAAACAATCAAGTTATTGAACTCGAAAGTCTAGAGTACCGTGTTTAGGTCAGTAGGATGTCACTGAGTCCACCTAGCTCTTGGGGGTACCCAACTCACGTTGTAACTTAGAATCATGATCGTCTCAATATATGTAACTAAAAATAATGATTTTCTCAATAGGCCCTATGTAAAAGTTTAGTTTTGAGATTGACAAAATTCACGTGAATATTTCTCTCTATTTGTAGAGCAATAATACAAACAAACGCGAGAGTTGACCTACTTAGACATATCTTCTTGTCAGAAATGTCTATTTACGTTCTGTAATCCGACACTTGTTACAATATTAGCTGAGTTGTCCTCTCAAAATTAACATAATATATGCTGCCAATATCGCACCTTTTACAACGATTAAAGTTTAATATCAAACAAGACGCTTTTTTGAAATCAACTGAAATTGTACTTTGTGATGAATTTTCTCAATTACCTGATCACAAAATGCAGTTTGTGTGCTTTAAAAAACTGCCGACCATTTGATAAATACATTTTTAAAAACATCTCCTGTCGAGTACAGTCAGTATTTGATCAGTATTTGTTAATTATTTTAACAAAAAGAGGTAACTCTTTTTAGTTATAACAGTATTCATTTATTGGGTTGTCTTTCTTTTTTCTTTAGCATAGCATCAATATCGTAGTAACACCTGTTGGGATAGTTCACTGCTCCTGAAATATTTTTTAATAATCATGCACACAATTTTTGTTAGTCTTCAGGAAATAAAACTTTAAAAGGGAAACGATTAGCGCAAATTTACAGTGGGAGTAGAATTAATTTTTTAAATATAAAAAACGTTTTAATAACAAGCTTTTATGTAATAATGCACTAAAAAAAGTAGAAAATAAATGATTTTGTTTAAATCTATAAGTTGACCGCACTTAGGGTTTGTCTGAAGTGATAGTGGGTTGAAGATATTTTGTATAATCGCAGTCAGCAAACTATAAAAGGTTTTAAAATCTAATTAACCTAGTTTCTAATTAATTAGTCTAAAAATTTCAGAGCCCAGAGATGGACGAAGACTCCCCGACCCACACGGACAAGCCCTCCCCGACCCACACGGACAAACCCTCCCCACTTGAGATGGTGGACGTCAACCTTCACAACTCATCCAAAGATGGACACAGCAATGGCAAGGTCAAGGATGATGAGGTCACAAGCAAAAAAGTTTCCCCAGAAGCGCAAGGTACAGCATTGTATTAGAAGTGTTACACTTGGATGTACTGACTCGAACAATTGCGTAGACTTGAAGTAACATTTGGGTGAATTCACTCTAAAAAATGTGTACACTTAATGTAACATTTGGATACATTGACTTAAAGATTGTGTAGCCTTAATGTAACATTTGGATGAGTTGACTCTAAAATTGTGTACAACTAAATATAACATTGTGTAAACTTGTGGCACAAAGAAAGGACCAGCAGCATCTGAAAGTTCACCAGTGTAGGCTGTTGTTTCCATCAATCTTTACAATTCATGAAAGTTATAAGCGCTAGAATAAATGATGGGAAAACATAATGGATCCTAGCAGTTCGCGGTGTAAACTTGAAGACATTATCTCCCCCTCTTTCTGTAAATTATATAGTTTAATTATTGTTACTTTTTTGTTGAAAATTAACAGAAATAATATTTATTGTTATTTTAGATTACAAGCCATTTATGGGCATGAAGCAGATCCTAAAGAACGTTTTTGTTGTTAGTCTGGCCTTCACCTTCCTCTTTACGGCCTTCAACTCTATGGCGAACCTGCAGACCAGTTTGAACAAAGAGGACGGTAAGGCTCCAATATTTTCTGTAGCTCTTTGAACAGATTTTATCAGGAGAAAAATACAACTCGCTGGTGTTAAATTTTAATTGAAGAAAAAGCGTAACGATGGTGCTACGTCAACAGGTTTTGGAAATTAGATTTAAAAAAAGAAAAATTCCACGAATATATATATGTACTTTTATATATAGGCCCTATATATACGAAAGTGTGTGAGTGTGTGTATGTGTTTGTATTACTACATCTTTGTTCCAATTTCCAATAAACAAGATTAGAATACTCCTAGCAAGGTAAGTTTCTGCGGGGAAAAAAAAATTCAATTTCGATCCCCCTGAATTGAATTTTGAATAATCAGAGGAATTAACCATGCTTAGATTATTTTGCAAAAATATTAACTTGGTTGTTTCCCTTTGTCCATAAAAAAAATTCTGTCGAAAACTGCGATAAGCCTATAGTTCTAAAAAATAATTTAATAATGTTTGTTTCACTGTGTGTGTTTTTTATTTATTACTCAGTCTTTGGGAAGTTGTTGAGAATACTTATTGGGAGGTTTCTTAAAAAAATGTTTACAAAGGGGCGGCGTTTTCACTAAATCGCCCCGGGCTCCCTCGTGAGCACTTACGCTTGTTTTAAAGAGTACGATACATTAAGGATACGTTTAAAAAATCGAATCTAGTGCGTCAGCTGGGGGTCGGGTGACCAGCAACAACCCGAGTCCCCCCTGTGGCACATGCCTACATCCGTTTAATCAAACCAAACTAGGGGCCGTATTGGTGCTCCTGCGTTAGTGGCTTCCGAGAGCATAAGTGTTCTAACTCTCTATATAAACGAGGGTGATTAACTTACAGTCAAGGCTTTTATACAGCACCCCCTGGGGCGTCTGGCGGTAGCGGGAACGTCATTGTTTACATTTAATGAAAACAAGTTGACGCGTCTAAATGCGTTAACGCATTAATGACATCTTCATACAATATTGCGTTAGCCCGCGGATCAGGTACGCTAGTAATAAATAAATAGTTTCGTTTTAATCTAATATATTTGTATAAACCTATTTATATAAAAGAATATTTGATCTTAAATAATTTTTAAAACGTTTCGTTTGAATGCGCTATCATTATATATATATATATATATATATATATATATATATATATATATATATATATATATATGTAAGTACAATGTTGTATTTGTTACAATATATAGGTCTAGTTCTGAATGTAATTTGACTTTTCCAAAGTTTCACCGCATTTTGTGTACTGTTACTTCTTTTCAGGTGTTGGAGCTTGGAGCTTGTCCACGATTTATGTCAGTTTAATTGTTTCCTGCATGTTCCTGCCCAATTTTATCATTTCTAGATTGGGCTGCAAGTGGACGATACCGATCTCAATGGTTGGATATATTCTATACATGTGTGCTAATTTTTATGCTGTCAAAGGTAACGTATTTTTTCTCCAAAAAAAATCAATTTGAATTTGTTTAAATTATAAGATTAAGATAAATGAAATTGTAACGACAGATCAACATAAAACATTTAGTCCTACTAAAATATTTCAAAGGGAAAAATTATCTTCAAGTACATAATTGAGTTTATTTTTATAAAAATGAAATTAAAATAGTTGTCAAATGTTGGTTTTGTTGTGTGCAGGAACTATGATCCCAGCCTCCATTATCCTCGGCCTTGGAGCGGCTCCACTTTGGTCTGCCAAGTGCACGTATCTGACACAGCTGGGTGTCTGGTATGCCAAATTGACAAAACAAGACCAAGATGGAATCATCAACACGTTTTTTGGCTTCTTTTTTCTCTTTTTTCAGACTTGTGAGCAAACTTTAAAAACAAAATTTAGTTTTTGATATAGATCTAGGTCTAGATCGACTAGAGTAACGTGTGTAGAACAAGCTACATACACCATAAAAGTATGGATAACCCCACCAATACTAAAATCTAGAGCTAGAACACTGACTTTTTTAACTAAAATATACTAGAAAAAAATGTGAATAGAGCTTTGTTTGTTATAGGAAACAGGGAAACTATCAAACTATGTTACAATTATTATATTTTTTAACCTCGGAAAAATTATGTCAGGTGGAAGAAGGGAAGGGCGTTCAAGTGGGTTTAAAAAAATAGATTTTTAATACTTGCAATTTACATGAGAACAGTAACTGTTATTAAAAAAATAATTCATGCACTTAGTAGGCCTAATTAATTAGTAATTAATTTTGTCTACTCCAGCCCAGATTTGGGGTAACCTCATCTCCTCCCTGGTGTTCACGCCAGATAAAAGTAATGGGACAGAAACCAAACAATGTGGGGCCAGTTTCTGTCCTGAGGTTGCCACAACTAACGGATCGGATAACTTTTCACAGACATCAGACAAGGTAGGTTCAGATAACTTTTCACAGACATCAGACAAGGTAGGTTCAGATAACTTTTCACAGACATCAGACAAGGTAGGTTCAGATAACTTTTCACATACATCAGACAAGGTAGGTTCAGATAACTTTTCACAGACATCAGACAAGGTAGGTTCAGATAACTTTTCACAGACATCAGACAAGGTAGGTTCAGATAACTTTTCACAGACATCAGACAAGGTAGGTTCAGATAACTTTTCACAGACATCAGACAAGGTAGGTTCAGATAACTTTTCACATACATCAGACAAGGTAGGTTCAGATAACTTTTCACAGACAAAGTAGGTTCAGATAACTTTTCACAGACAATAGACAAGGTAGGTTCAGATAACTTTTCACAGACAACAGACAAGGTAGGTTCAGATAACTTTTCACATTTATCAGACAAGGTAGGTTCAGATAACTTTTCACAGACATCAGACAAGGTAGGTTCAGATAACTTTTCACAGACATCAGACAAGGTAGGTTCAGATAACTTTTCACAGACATCAGACAAGGTAGGTTCAGATAACTTTTCACAGACATCAGACAAGGTAGGTTCAGATAGCTTTTCACAGACATCAGACAAGGTAGGTTCAGATAGCTTTTCATAGACAAGGTAGGTTCAGATAACTTTTCACAGACATCAGACAAGGTAGGTTCAGATAACTTTTCACAGACATCAGACAAGGTAGGTTCAGATAACTTTTCACAGACATCAGACAAGGTAGGTTCAGATAGCTTTTCACAGACATCAGACAAGGTAGGTTCAGATAGCTTTTCATAGACAAGGTAGGTTCAGATAACTTTTCACAGACATCAGACAAGGTAGGTTCAGATAACTTTTCACAGACATCAGACAAGGTAGGTTCAGATAACTTTTCACAGACAACAGACAAGGTAGGTTCAGATAACTTTTCACAGACAAGGTAGGTTCAGATAACTTTTCACAGACATCAGACAAGGTAGGTTCAGATAACTTTTCACAGACATCTGACAAGGTAGGTTCAGATAGCTTTTCACAGACATCAGACAAGGTAGGTTCAGATAGCTTTTCATAGACAAGGTAGGTTCAGATAACTTTTCACAGACATCAGACAAGGTAGGTTCAGATAACTTTTCACAGACATCAGACAAGGTAGGATCAGATAACTTTTCACAGACATCTGACAAGGTAGGTTCAGATAACTTTTCACAGACATCAGACAAGGTAGGTTCAGATAACTTTTCACAGACATCAGACAAGGTAGGTTCAGATAACTTTTCAGACATCAGACATGGTAGGTTCAGATAACTTTTCACAGACATCAGACAAGGTAGGTTCAGATAACTTTTCAGACATCAGACATGGTAGGTTCAGATAACTTTTCACAGACATCAGACAAGGTAGGTTCAGATAACTTTTCACAGACATCAGACAAGGTAGGTTCAGATAACTTTTCACAGACATCAGACAAGGTAGGTTCAGATAGCTTTTCACAGACATCAGACAAGGTAGGTTCAGATAGCTTTTCACAGACATCAGACAAGGTAGGTTCAGATAACTTTTCACAGACATCTGACAAGGTAGGTTCAGATAACTTTTCACAGGCATCAGACAAGGTAGGTTCAGATAACTTTTCACAGACATCAGACAAGGTAGGTTCAGATAACTTTTCACAGACATCTGACAAGGTAGGTTCAGATAACTTTTCACAGGCATCAGACAAGGTAGGTTCAGATAACTTTTCACAGACATCAGACAAGGTAGGTTCAGATAACTTTTCACAGACATCTGACAAGGTAGGTTCAGATAACTTTTTACAGACATCAGACAAGGTAGGTTCAGAAAACTTTTCACAGACAACAGACAAGGTAGGTTCAGATAACTTTTCACAGACATCAGACAAGGTAGGTTGAGATAACTTTTCACAGACAACAGACAAGGTAGGTTCAGATAAATTTTCACAGACAACAGACAAGGTAGGTTCAGATAACTTTTCACAGACAATAGACAAGGTAGGTTCAGATAACTTTTCACAGACAACAGACAAGGTAGGTTCAGATAACTTTTCACAGACAAGGTAGGTTCAGATAACTTTTCACAGACAAGGTATGTTGAGATAACTTTTCACAGACAACAGACAAAGGTAGGTTCAGATAACTTTTCATAGACATCTGACAAGGTAGGTTCAGATAACTTTTCACAGACATCAGACAAGGTAGGTTCAGATAACTTTTCACAGACATCTGACAAGGTAGGTTTAGATAACTTTTCACAGACAACAGACAAGGTAGGTTCAGATAACTTTTCACAGACATCAGACAAGGTAGGTTCAGATAACTTTTCACAGACATCTGACAAGGTAGGTTCAGATAACTTTTCACAGGCATCAGACAAGGTAGGTTCAGATAACTTTTCACAGACATCAGACAAGGTAGGTTCAGATAAATTTTCACAGACATCTGACAAGGTAGGTTCAGATAACTTTTCACAGACATCAGACAAGGTAGGTTCAGATAACTTTTCACAGACATCTGACAAGGTAGGTTCAGATAACTTTTCATAGACATCAGACAAGGTAGGTTCAGATAACTTTTCACAGACATCAGACAAGGTAGGTTCAGATAACTTTTCACAGACAACAGACAAGGTAGGTTCAGATAACTTTTCACAGACATCAGACAAGGTAGGTTCAGATAACTTTTCACATACAAGGTAGGTTCAGATAACTTTTCACAGACAAGGTAGGTTCAGATAACTTTTCACAGACAAGGTAGGTTCAGATAACTTTTCACAGACAAGGTAGGTTCAGATAACTTTTCACAGACATCAGACAAGGTAGGTTCAGATAACTTTTCACAGACAAGGTAGGTTCAGATAACTTTTCACAGACATCAGACAAGGTAGGTTCAGATAACTTTTCACAGACATCAGACAAGGTAGGTTGAGATAACTTTTCACAGACATCAGACAAGGTAGGTTGAGATAACTTTTCACAGACAACAGACAAGGTAGGTTCAGATAACTTTTCACAGACAAGGTAGGTTGAGATAACTTTTCACAGACATCAGACAAGGTAGGTTGAGATAACTTTTCACAGACAACAGACAAGGTAGGTTCAGATAACTTTTCACAGACAAGGTAGGTTGAGATAACTTTTCACAGACATCAGACAAGGTAGGTTCAGATAACTTTTCACAGACATCAGACAAGGTAGGTTCAGATAACTTTTCACAGACAATAGACAAGGTAGGTTTAGATAACTTTTCACAGACATCAGACAAGGTAGGTTCAGATAACTTTTCACAGACATCAGACAAGGTAGGTTCAGATAACTTTTCACAGACAACAGACAAGGTAGGTTCAGATAACTTTTCACAGACAACAGACAAGGTAGGTTCAGATAACTTTTCACAGACAATAGACAAGGTAGGTTCAGATAACTTTTCACAGACAAGGTAGGTTTAGATAACTTTTTAGACATCAGATAGGTAGGTTCAGATAACTTTTCAGACATCAGATAGGTAGGTTCAGATAACTTTTCAGACATCAGATAGGTAGGTTCAGATAACTGTAAATAGACATGCCAGATTTGAAACACAGTGCTAAAGAAATGTGTCTTGATCTCCAGGTGTACACTGTCTGTGGAATTTACCTGGCGTCTGCTGTCATTGCTGTCATCATTGTGTCCATCTTTCTGGACCGGATAGTCCTGGATAAAGAGACAAGTGAAGAGGACAGAAAACTGAGCCCCAAACTTTTGATCTCCACCTTCCGCCATCTGTTCAGTTCACCCTTGCAAGCCATGCTCATCCCCATCACTATCTACAGTGGAGTGGAGCAGGCATTCATGGGAGGGGATTTTACAAAGGTATTTACACAATCATTAACACAATCATTTTTAGCAGGGGATTTTACAAAGGTATTTACACAATCATTCACAGGAAGTGGTTTTAATATGGTACTCACACAATCATTCATTGAACATTAATAACTTCTTTTTGATTATTATTATATTAAATTATTATAGTTTACCAGTTTTATTTTGTAACACAATTTTAATGGTTAATAGCTTAAAATGTGTAGTTGCTAACATAACAAATGCCTATGGTTAAAGTATGTTTTTATTTTTTTTTAATAGAAAAACATTTTTTGATTAGTTAAAAGAAATTATTATCAATAGCTAATTATTTGTCCACCACTTGTTTTAATGTGTAATTCTGTCCCTTAGGCCTATATCAGCTGTACCCTGGGTATTTGGAACCTTGGCTACGTTATGATATGTTACGGTGTTGCTGATGCCCTTTGCTCTATTCTCTTTGGTCGTCTGGTTGTTTATATTGGTCACATCCCATTTTTTATCTTCGGTGAGCTTTTTTCTTTCCAAAAATGTTTAAATGTAACATTTAAATGTGTAGAAAATAATTTTTCTCTGTGTAGATCTTCACTTTGTTTTGCATTTAAAAACAAAATATAAAAAGTATAAACCACCAAATATATTCTGTCATCCCCAGCTTTCATAAATCACGGAGCTTTGCAGATTGCGTTTTTATTGTGGAGTCCCCAGGAAGGACAAGAAGTGATCTTTTATGTTTGTGCTGCATTGTGGGGTATGGGGGATGCTGTGATACAGACACAGCTCAATGGTAAGTTCTTACTTCAGGAAATATCAGGAAATAATCTGACAAATGATGTATAAAGGTGTCTGGTTGTTAGATTATGTATGATTAAAAAAAGTTAACAATTTAAGTTTTATTTTTCAAGAAAAAGCTAATTTAACATTTAAAAGTTTGAAATTTTCTGTGTGTTAAGAACTGGATTAGGTTTACTTGACTCTTTGAAATCAATAGGAATTTGAAATGTGTGCATGAATGTAAATCAAAAAAATGTTATACATAGTGATTTAATTACAGTAGGGCTCAACAAATGATTTAATTTTTTTTCAGCACTTTATGGTCATTTATTTTCGGACAAAGCTGAGGCAGGTTTCGCTAACTACCGCTTGTGGGAGTCGTTGGGTTTTGCAGTGACATACGCCTACAATGATTATCTGTGCACAGACACAAAACTGTATGTGTGTTTGGGTGTTCTAGGCACATCTGTCATTTGTTATTTTATTGTTGAACTCATGTCATGGCGAGCAAAGAAAACCAGTTTAGATATAACAAAACAGTGATTCTCATAATGTGCAACAAATATATTCAAATCAATTCTTTATGGGTAAATATTCTTGGTTAAATATTGGTCTGAATTTTATTAAAAAAAAATATTTTAAGTAAATCATATAACATTTTTTTAAGTCGTGAAGAATGCAATGCTTGTCTAAAATGTGGGTAATCTATCGTTTTGGGTACGTAAAATCGCCCGCGACTAGTAATGTGAAAAACAGGTGACTCCTTAAATTTTAATAATTATTTCACATTTTGAGGAGGATTTATGTTTTGAAAAATACAAAAATGTTTCCTTCTTTCATTTATGTACCTGTTTTTAAACAATTGAATTAAAACTTTTCAGTAATAAATGAAGACTAGCGATGTTTCCAACAGATGCAACCATGCTCATTTACTATAGCAGCCATCTTGTTTAAGTTTTTTTTTATAGCGGATATAGCGCGAGACAGGCGGAAGTCACTCTATTTTACAAATGGCTGCTGTTTATATAGCAAATCTTGCTCGCAAACACTGCTGTTTAAAGTTAATTTCTGGCATATATTGATATATCTAGCCATTGATTTAGGTTTATTATTCATTTATCTATAATATTTGACACAAATATATCACAATATACTTCTACTAAAGCCTTGACAATGAGGTAACTTTTTCGTACATTAATAGCCGCGGGCGATTTTACGTACCCAAAACGATAGATTACCAAAATGTGTAATGTCTAATTAAAAAATCACAACACGTGTGGTTTTATAAGCTTCTCTATTTTAAAATCATCTCAAAACTTTAATGGACTAACAAGCAGAAAGCATTTATTTCATATGGCCTGAATGGGAGATTTTTCTAAAAAAGTTTTTTAAAATCTAAGTAAATGAAAGAATGAAAGCAGAAAAAAATGTTATCAGATGCCAGTAAGGATAGGCTTACTGTAATGAAAACAAGAATATATTTAATGTTTCTTTTGATGGTTGATGGTGAAGGCTTTATAACTGGTAAAAATGAAGTTTTGAAAAAGTAAAAAAAAAAATGTATCTGTCTCATTGATAAGCTTAAGTTAATTATAGACGCTATTCTGTGCAAACCATTATTTAAGCCTCTGATTTTGTATAATTAATGTTGTACATTTTTAAAAAGCGCTGGGACTCTCTAAGAGGTAGAGGAGGTGGGGTAGGGTCTAGGGTTACCCCCCCCCCCCCCCCCCAAGTTGCAGTTGCCCAACCACTGTTATGCAGCTTTTAAATTTTGATACATGCTGCTACTCCTAAAACAGAGCTATTTCCATTTACTAAAGGGGAGTAACAAATAAATAACGATATATTTATAGGCTCAGAAACAGTTAATTATCTGCAGTCAAATTGTAAAACAAGTTTTATCAATTTAGTAATGTTGAAACTTTAGCGAAAATTAGGTACGCTGGCTAATTTTTTAATGCATTTTTTTTAAAATTTACACACTGTTGAATGTTGAAATTCAGTTCAAAATATTTTAAATTAACATATTTGACGTCATACGTTCTGTCAACCGTGAAACCCCCACTACCTGTTACACAAGTCCCTCCCCCACACACACACACACTTCTTCCTACAGGAAGGTAGTGTTATTTATGGGCGACTGCCAGAGTAAGTCCCTGTATGTGTACTGCACTGAACAGGAAAGGAAAATTTCCTTAGTGGTCATGTACCCCGTAGGTTGCAACTGTATTTAGCCATAGTTCAAGAGCAGCAAATACAATTTTATTTTAATTTGACTTTTACTAGATCTATACACAAATACATCTTTTAAAATAATATTTTTCACTTTTAAAAGCAGCTATTTAAATGGTTATATGTAAAATGTAAATATATATATATGTATTACACCTATTTATATCAACTCATTCATGATTTTTATGTACTGTAATTGTTAAATAAAATATTTTGATATATACATTAGTTTATGGGTTGTCCTGTCAATATTGCTGTGTACAGTAAACTTTTAATCACTTTTAAAAATATTTTGTCTTTCTATTAGTGTAACTGCCAATTGGTTTTAAAATCTTTTAAAAATGTCCACACGGCATCAACTTCACATGCTTCTCTATCAGTCTTCAGTCTCTCTCTCTCTTTCTCTCTCTCTATGGATATATATATATATATATATATATATATATATATATATATATATATATATATATATATATATATATATATATATATATATATATATAGTCTACAGATTTATATGGTGAAGAGAAAGATGCGCAACGAAAAAAAAACGCAATGGAAAAAATAAGCGCATAAAAAATTCTTTGTAGGTATACAATGCTCAGTTTGGTAGTAGGCTATTATTTACTTGTACACAAAGCCATGTGATGTTGCACAATAATTTGTTGGTATATGATATTGCAAGCTAACGTTTGTTATTATGTTGTTACACGCCAGAGGGGTATCGACCCCTCCCGGCGCCCGGGGACAAACTTTCAATTTGGCGCCCCCCCCCCCATATATTTTTTGTTTATAATTCAAAATTTCAGCTAAAATGAGCTTTTAATATTTTTTCCAACCCATTTTGTCGCCCCTTGGGTCGGCGCCCGGGGACATATGTACCCACCCGCCCCCCCCCCCCCCCCCCCCCCCCCCCCCCCCCACTTCGCTACTCCTCTGGTACACGCAACAGTTTTGATGCAAGCAATGAACAAGTTTTATGATGAACTGAGACAGAAACACAGACATTGACATCTGGCGGCTTCTGAATGAATGCAAGATTTTCAAAAGAGACAACACGATATGAAAGTTTACATTATGTTATTTTACATTTGCGAGTCTAGTGTTGGCGTTTAGCTCAATTATTTATGCCGTGTGGAGCTATAAATGCTTATTTATTGCTTGATCTCTGTCCGATTTTGCGCGTTCATTAAAACATTTTTCTGTTTGCAACTACTTTAAAAAATTTGCTATAAAAGTTGGAATATCTGTGAAAAGGCAAAAGATAAAAAACAATACTATCAAGCATGCAGTGGAGAAACTACTTGGTGTGTGTGTACTATATTCAGAGGTAAAACTGCAACAGGCGCAGCCGTCGTGCCCCGTCATTGAATGAGCACTATGTCGTCTACATTAGTTTTTTTAAAAGGCTCCCGGTGCGGCACTTTGTGGTGTCACCCCCAAATGGTGTCTCCCGGTGTGTTTCTCGCTATGCCTCTGACTATATCGAATCAGACTTGTCCGCCGAAACCACAGAGGTGATTTGGCGCCCAGGGCTCACCCGTAAACACTATGGCGCCTTTTTAAGAGTCTGATAAGATAACGATACAATGAAATGCTATAGCCGCTAATTAAATCAAATCAGGCGCGTCCTCCTGCGTTCCGCAGGGTGCTATTTTGCTCCCTGGGCGTTCCCGTGAGCGCTATAACGCATACGTTCGTTTTAAAGAGTGGGATAGAATATAGATAACATGTAATATTATAGTCGCTCTCTAACCAGGCGCGTCCTCCGGCGCTCCAGCTGGGTGCAATTTGGCGCCCCGGGTTATCATGTGTGCACTATGGCGCCTGAGTTAATTTTAAGGAACACCCTATAAAATTGACACGGCGACACACGACATTCAATGATCAAACAGATCCAGGGGTCGTACGCGGCGCTCTTGTGTTTCCTACCTCATAATTACGAAGAGTGATTAACGTAAACTCTACGCTTTCATACACCGCGTGATTGGCGATAGTGTAGGTAAACCCGTGCCTCGACAAATATGATCCAAGAAATGTAGCGCAGGAATGGTTAACACTTAATTAATTCAGTTTTAGAAAAAAAGGTCACACGTCTAAGACCATAGGATTGGTAACGTATTGATGAAACCGTCTTAAAATATTACGTCAAACTTTCTTCTGTGACCGCGGCAACGCTCGGGGATGGGCATGCTAGTATACTATATTTACTTTCATATATATATATATATATATATATATATATATATATATATATATATATATATATATATATATATATATATATATATATAATATATATATATATATATATATATAATATATATATATATATATATATATATATATATATATATATATATATATATATATATATATATATATATATATATATATATATATATATGTGACTAGGGTAGGCCTAGCCACTAGTTACAAATCTGATAACGAACGATAAGCCGAGACGCAGTATTACAGTCTGATGCAACATAGCAGGTGGCTTATTGGATCGGACTGATAACAATCTCAAAGCCAACGCGTGCTATTTTGGGAAACGGTACGAGGGGATTCAGACAGCCTGTCAACTTTGATTGATAGGATGCAGATGTTATTTCACGGACTGTACGTTAGAACTGCGCAACTAGTGGTCGGAGACATCGAGTACAAGTATCGATTACGGAGGAATACAAGTACAAAGACGAGTACGGATACAAGGGATAAATAGGAGGGGACGGCTGAACTCGTTCTCTTCCCTCTTCATCGCTCGCTTTAGATCAGTCAGTCTGTGTGACATATCAAGTTGGTTATATTGTGTTAAGAAGGACAATAGACATGTGGATTCAGTTATATGAAGCCTAGTGAGGACTGTTAGGGGTCAGTTGATTCAGACTATTATTGTGAAACATTCCTGTTGATTCATTGTGTTATATTGAAGCATTTCTTGATTCATGTAATAAAAGGATCAATAGCGAACCTGCATCTTCGAGTCTTTCTACTGTAGTCGATGTTGTGTAGCATGAGTGGTTCAACTCGTTACAATTGGCGTTGTCGGGCAGGATAGACTCGGGGAAGGTCACATTTGGCGCTGCGATCAGGATGAATTCAACTAGACTTGCCGGTTGAGGCACCCATAGTCAACCTTGTGCATAACTGTGTTTTGTGTGTATGTGAATTCGGACATTCAGGAACTGTGAAAATTGAGGAAAATTTTTTCATACACACACGGTAAGAAAGAACTCTTTTGTTTTACTTACGGGATAAAATGTCTACTCTGGACGAGAAGCAGACCCATATAGTGGTCCTACCCAGAGAGTCCCACATTAACAAATTTTACGGGGACGGGGATCCAACTTTAACCAACAGGTTCAGTGAAGAGGTCAAAGCGGCCTGGGCCTCGAGAGGCATGTCACCAGAGGAAAGATTAAGACTGCTGATGGGCAGTATAGGAGAGACGGTCA